TGGCTAGGCTGAGGGTCCGGATGGAGCGGTGGGAGGCGACGGTGAAGTGGATGTGGGAGATGGCGGAGGTGTGGGAGCGAGATGGCGGGTTTGAGGAAGTAGTTGAGCTTGATGCTGATGTTTTGGCAGCGATGAGATTGGATGGGGAGGCGAGTGATGACGACGAGCTAGTTGGGTTCACGGATGATTTGGATGTGAGTGTTACTACGACGGACTATGATGCTGTATATTGTTAAAGTGCTTGGTCTAGGGAACTAGATACAGGAAGACAAAGCAAGAAGTGGGAAGCAGAGAAGCCAACTTTTATACTCCAACGTAAAGAGTAACGGGTAACCAAATGTAGGAAGTGACAAGAAGGAGAAGAAGGAGCAGGAGAAGAAGACTGAATTAATGGGTGAGCAGGTCATGTACGCTCATGCCAAGCTTACGCCTGGCATGAGTTTGTGTATGTGTATGTGTATGTGTGAGTGAGTGCTGTGCATGGGCATGAGGCCATATAGTGGGCGAGGTAGTAGCTGAAGCAGTGGTGGCTGAAGTCGAAGAATGCCGTCTATCGGTGTTGAGCATGAGCAGAGCAGCAGAAGCCTCTCTGTCCATGTCTACATCATCTTCCTGCACGGCAATGTCGTCGCCCCCCGTGGGTACAAGCAGCGGTGAAGTGTTGGTAGAGGTTGCTGTGGTGGACATGCTGTAAGTCCGCGACGCAGAGGAGGCAGTGGTCGAAGTGGTAGTAGGCCTGAGAGCAGGCGAAGGCAGGACCATGGGTATGATGTCGAACCCAGCCGAGGCGGTCTGGTGGGCCTGACTCTGCGCCGGCGAAGGCATGGTGGAGGTGTTGGCGGTTGAAGGGTGGATATCCGGGGAGACGGAGTATGAGCTGGCCGAGTCCATCTGGATGTTTGCCGAGGGCTGCCAGCAGGGCGAGGTGGGAGTGTCATCTCGCCGGGCGGCCTTGAGGTCTCTGACGCAGCTCTCCAGGTAGTTTACATACTCGATGCTGGCCTGGCTTATCCTGTTAGCAGCTGTCATTATATATCTAAGAAGGAGCAAAGAGCGAGGACTGACCTGGAGGATGGCGAGTTTGTGCATCTCATGGCCCCTGCAGGCGGGAATCATGTCCTTGAGCGTGGCAAACTCCTGGTTCATCTTGGACCGGCGGCGACGCTCAATCAGGCTGTGAGCGGTGCGCCGGGCGATCTTGCGGCCTGCGGCGGTGGCAGCGCTGGACTTCTTCTTGGTGGTGGCAGCCGGGGCGGCATCCTGCTGGTCGGCCTCCTCGTCTCGCTTGGGCTTGACCTGGATGATCTTGCGGGTGCGCGTGGGCGGCGGCGGCAGGCTGAACTCGGGCTGTCTCTTGGAGCGTCTTGTCTCTGGCTGTGACTGTGACTGTTGCTGCTGTGGCTGTTGTTGTTGCTGCTGGGGCTGGTGGTGGTGGTGATGCTGGATGGCGGCGGGCGGGAGGGCGAAGTAGAGGTCGTCTGCGGCCTTGTCCATCTTGTCCATGGCGGCGATGTCGGTCGACGAGGCCGGAGTTAGCGGCAGACGCGGCTTCGGCATGCCAGCAGCGGTGATAGTAGTAGTGGTGGTGATAGTAGTGGTGGTGATAGTAGTAGTGGTGGTGATAGTAGTGGTGGTGGTGATAGTAGTGGTGGTGACAGCAGTGGTGATGGCGATGGCGAGGGAGGAGGAGAGACGCAGAGTCGAGGCGACGAAAAGAGGGCAGGCGGTGCTTCTTCTACTTGCGCCGCGAGTCCTCCTGGTGGTCGCGTGCTGCCAACGGTTGGCTGGCAGGACGCCTGGGGCAGGGCCAGGCACATGGACGCGGGGAGGACGCTGATTGGCTGCGGGCGGCGCAGGGGAGGCTAAGGTTGCCGTGGCTGAGTCAGCGGGGAAGAGGGCCGGGGTGGAGGTGGGCACGTGTGCTGCTTAGTCAGGAAAAGAAGCCGGGCGGGAGGAGACGGAAGGGCGGGAGAAGCCGGAAGAGAGAAGTGGAAGCAGCAGATGTCGAGAAGTAGAGGAGAGGAAGAGGAAGATGCGGTTATCTGCCGCGCGTCTACCTCCCTCTTCTACAGGCTAAAAACCCGCCTGAGGAGCTCCTCGCTTAGTAAGCTATCAGGCCCGCGCTCCAGCACGCCCACGCGGTTGCCGCCCGCCCTCCACCCGCCGCGGTCGTCCTCCTGCTCCTCCGCCGCCGCGGCTGCGATCTCCTCCTCGTCCTCCACCACCACCTTGTCCACCACGTCGGCGTCAACCCGCCCGACAAGCCGCCTGTCCACCACCGTTGCGCCCCGCGTCCACTGGCCCGTCGTCTCGACCCGCACGTCTCGCTCCTGCCACCGCCATGTCTCGCTCCCGCCCGTCAGCACGTACCACACGCACACGGGATCGTGCAGGCTCATCTCCTCTTCCGTGGTCGCTGCCTCGTGTCGGGCCAGCTTGAGCTCCCGGATCGTGCTAAAGGTGTGCTCGACCACGGTCGAGACCAGCTCGGCCAGCGGAGAGCTGCGCTGCAGGTGCGGCGTGATGGCGACGCGGAAGGCTGTCGGAGTGAAGTTCTGCGTGTGCGTCAGGTCCAGCGGTGCCATCTTTAGAGTAAGTCTCTTGTCTAGACGTCGTGGAGGGGCCATTGGCGAGGCTGCGGGCCAGGTGCGCCGTGGGTTAAGCGATGTCAGCGCTATCAGCTGGGCGGCGGCTAGGGGGTCCGCGAAGACGTTGAACTCCGCGAAGGGGGTGACCTTTATATATACTCGACTGTTAGTATCTAGTAAGAATATAGTAATTGGGAGGAAAGCTTACATTTCCTGGCTCGTCGATGGCCCCGCCCATGACGACTACCTCCTTGGCTCGCAGGAAGGTAGGCAGGTCCTCGGCCGCGGCTAGGGCAAGGTTCGTCAGCGGGCCACGGCCACAATGGTAATGCTGTCTTCTCATTCTCGCGCAGCAGGCGGAGGATCTCCAGATGAGACGGCTGCGAGAAGGTATATACAGCTTCTCGCCTGTGTCTGCGGCCTCTTCTTCACCCTCAAACAGGGCCTGGTAGGTGTCGTCGGCGGAGAGGTGGGGGCACTAGAAAAGGAAGCACTCAGCACACTCGAACAGGTCCTAGAGAGTTTACAGTAAATACTACAGACACACCTTTTTATGAACGTTCCCCCAGTCCATCAAAACCATGAAAGTATCCCGCGTCAACCTTGCTACCGTCCAGAGGGCCCTCGGCGCCACAGGCAAGAATGGGTCGGCATGCCTTGAGCGCAGAGAAGGCGCCCTTCCCCGCCTCCCCGCGATGAGCGAGTTCCTTCTCAATAACGTGGAACACCGACACCGCGTTGCGGAGACACTTCTTTATCTCGATGTTGCCGAACGTCAGGGAGATGAGTGCTACTTCTAGCTCGGCCGAGGATGCGGAGAAGGCGAGGAGGAGGGCTAGGATGTCATCGACGCCCTGGTTGGGTGCAGGGTGTTAAGTTACATGCTGGCTAGAGTGTGTATAGAGTATCCCAACTTACTGGGTCGGTGTCGATGATGATGCGTTTAGGCATGGTTAAGTAGTATACTTGTTCAGCAGTGATGAGGATGCTGTGGATGGTTAATTATGAGGGGGGCGGCTGTATTAATTTACGCCTTACTCCGTATATTTAACTATATATATATATATATATATACGGAGCTCCGCTAAGCCTAATCGAGGGACAATCATGATTGTCCCTCGATTGGGCTTAGCGTGACCACATCGTCCATTTAATACTACCCGACGGTTGGTTACTTTTTTTTTTTTTTCTTCTTTTTTCTCCTAGCATGCAATGTGATGCATGCAGGGTGGATGTGCTACGCTTCCAGGACACCCGTCTGGTCGTACGGCGGCAGGCGGGTGTCGGTAGTTAATTTAGGTAGAATGGAAGAAAAGAAAGGATGCGGCTCAAGATCGAAGTTAATAGCCGGCGCTTAGCTACCTCCTTCCTGATTTGCTTTGTCAAGCCCTCTTTATTTACTCCACCCAACTTCACTTGTTAATGTATGGTTTCTGTTTATAGCATACTTAGATAGCTCCATTCACTTTCATTCACTGCTTCAGTCGCATCTGTGAAGGTACACTTGAGTAACTAGACGGCTGTGGATGGAGAGAGGCAATCTAGAGCCATGGTCGAGGCAGCTATATAAACCCCCCTCACTTCGTTCTTCTCCTTCTTTCTCTCTTCGTTCTCTATACCTTTCCCCCTGCATTATCCATTCTTCATACAGCAAAAATACACTCCTTTTGTCCACTTGATACTAGCACAATGTCCAGACTCATCATCCGAGTCAACCCAGACTTTCTAATAGACGGCGGCCCAGAGACCTCAGACCCCATCCAAGCAGTGGTCCGCCCCCTCTCACACCCTGTCTTCTCCTCAACTAAGATTCGTCTCTTCGGACCCCTGGGCGCAACCATACCGCTCAGAGAGCTCCTAGTTACTCCAGACGAGGATGTCGCATCTATAACCGTCACCCCCGAACAACGCATGTTGCAGCCTTGGCTGCCAGATCCCCGCTGCACGACGTACTATACACCGTACTTACCGCGGGATCTCACAGAGCCGCAATTTAAAGTGATGGTCCAGTTCCATCGCTTCGCGAGGGGTGAGGATGTGCTGCCGAACCAGCTCTCACAGCGAGCTATACGATACATATTATCTGCAAACAACAATTTACCTAACCCATACGCACGCTTTAATAGGCGAACACGGCGCTGGGTATACACGGGCTGGACACGGGCTCATTTCCTGGCATTTTTCTCCATTTATCGTTCAGTTATTTTGAGCTCGACCGTTGACGGGAGTGGAATCCTGGAATTGCGGAGCTTGGGGGAATGGCTTTATGCTGTGCCCCCTGAGGCGATGGGTTGTGAGGAATGGGAGAGCTTAATTATGGAGATTGGAGGGCTGGACAATGCCTTGACGGATGAAGAGAGATGGGATGCCCGCCACACAATTGGTGTTGAGGTTGTTAGTCGTGCAGATGAGGCTGGTGATGATGACGCTGTCCCTGTTATGAGAGCGAGGAAAAAGGAGAAGAAGGGAGGACAGAAGAATAGGTTTGCTGCATTGTGGAGGGGCGGGTAGTTCAGTGTTGTATCTTGATATGCATGCTTCTGGCTAGCGCAGTTATTTCATTGAAATTCATTTTTATTGGTTATGTAGATTGATGGGTATTATCCAGTAAATGGTCCCCTCAGGCCAGGTAACCAGCCAGAGCCTGCTACTCCATTAGAACCCTGCTGCTGCTGCTGCTGCTGCTGCTGCTGTAGCAAAGTACTAACTGTATGGCTCTCTCCATACTTGTAGGTAAGTATCGACGTCGCGGCCCCTACTCGCCCCCTAAATTCATTCAGCAAACTATGTACACCCCATCTACGACCCGCGGCTTCAAGAATGGACTGAGTCTTGCCCAGGGCTTCCAACGCGCGGGCGGTGCAGTTCAAACGCTTGGACCGATCGATGTATGGCGGCAGTGGGGTTTCGACTGTATCGTTTGTCGAAGGCGCTGGCGTTGAGTGTTCTGGAAGTGCCTTGCTTAGCACCTCGGTATGGTAGTTCCCGAGTGTGACCATTAAGATACATGAAACGGTGTACACCCTTTCAAAGTCAATGTACGTCACTGATAGACAAGGCGCCGATGAGTTGAGGAAGGTATGGAAATCGACTAGAAAATCAACAGTATACTCAAACAACACTATCTGGTTGATCTTGCTAATTTCTGGTGCGCGTTTGGATTGAGAGAGCACCAGAATGCAGGTAAATAGTAGCTCAAGCCGGTATAGTGGTATCAGATGAGGCGGGAGGTCTGATCTAGCAGTTTCAAACCAGTCCATCAACGTGGCACAGCGCCGCCAGGAGACATTCTCGGCATCAGGCAGTGGTTGCCTCCCATTGAAATATAGATCTTGGTAGAAGGTGGATTGTCGCCGACGTATATCGAACATCCGTGCTGCTGCTTTGATATTTTTAGGGGATATCGCGTCCCCAAGGTTTATGGAGTTGAAGGTGGTTGTAGTAGAAGGGAGAGGAACGTTGACTGAGTCATCTGAGAACGAATATGCTCGTCCTAACGCGCTGCTGACATATCTACATTGCATCAGTTGACATCCCCTAAAATTACGCAAAGAGTACACACCTGTCAATGGAGTAAAGGCAGTGGAATGTCTTCCGTGACTGGTTCAAGGCCGTACTTTCCATGTTGATTATCGATCGTTGTTCTTGGTGGATACCCAGATCAGTGGCCACCCGTGCCGCCATGCCTATCAAATACCATGTTTTATAATATTTCGGTGCAAACATGGAGAACTGCGTCAGCAGTAGGATAGACTGGATACCCGCCAGTGAGCCCGGATGTAACACGTCTTCCGCATATTTCAACGCTGCGTAGACATGGGCCAATGCTGCCTCGCAGTCTGCATCCATGTGCATTCTCGATTTCATGATCAGAGAAATTGCCAGAACCATTCGAAGGGACCAATGGTCGAAGCTTGTCGCAAATCTGCCACTATCCTGGTAGATGTTATCCAATGAGGCCCAGAATTTGGTCTCCATGAGAAACGGCATTAACACATAGAGGTTATCAAAGTAATATTGCACAAGGCCCACAGCCTGCGCTCGGGGCGGGTATTCAGTCCGTGAGCATGGCGGGATCGAAGACACCCCCTTTGCCACTGTCAGGAGAAGTCCCGCAAAGGAGGTTGAAGATGTAATTCCATAGAAATCTCGAGATGTAGCGTTCACAGACCTAATATTAACATTAGACATAGTTGGGACTACTCAATTCCGGAGTGTGGATTGACTCACAAAAACCCAAAGTCACCAACCAAATCATCAATGTCGGATGTCTCCTTAGCATATATACCACTAGATGTCCCTGATGTGTCCGATGAGTTCGCTGGTTGAGTGCCTCGAACTTCTGCTAGCCTGCTTTTTAAACGTTCACACTGAGCTTCCAGAGCAGCCACGTAACTCCTTTCTTTACCCTTTGCAAACTCGTCCGTAGCTCCAGAGCAGCTTCGTGCCTTACCCGCTCGCTCACAGGCCGAACATGCCGGCAGCTTGCCATCGCATTTAACCTTAGATGACCGGCATCTCGAGCATGCGGCAATCGGGCGGCTAACCTTCAGCAAAGGGGCGTCTAAGAGCGTCGTATATAGTGCATCCATCGCGCGATTCTTGTATAAAAGCCGTATATTCGGATATCTCAGACTGGGGTATGGGTCTAACTTACCACCGCATATCAGGTGAGGGCTGCTGCGCTGCACGGCTGAGATTCAGTACGGATGAATCATGATGAGATCAGTGTCATGCAGCGTCCTATTATCGCGTAACTATTCCAGGTTCCACGCATGCCAGCAACTTATAGCATACTCGCCTACGTTCCAAGGGCTGCGCATCAACTTTGGAATCGACCTCAAGCTTTGTAACTTGACATATCCCGTAAATAAATATTGCGATAATAATGGATCGGTGGGTAGACGTCAGGTGCCGATGGATGCCGATGACATGGAGGATGCCCGGAGGTCCATGCTCATTTCGGAATATAGATATTCCGGAAATATGGAGCCAGGACCTCATGTTGGCCCGCGCGAGAAACGCTACCCAGGACGATGGATTGATAGTGATTTTTGCTTAAGACACAACAATAAGTCAAGGTCCAAAAAGACAGGCTGGCGAGAAAGTGATACTACAATCACCAAAGTAAACACTCTTGCAAAGATCAACTAGGTAAGCTTTGTGCATGGGTGGAAAAGCCACATTTCATCATAACTACGCATGCTATGCCTAGGCTGTCGGGGCTCAGCCTTGAAAGGGCTAGGGAGTTTGTTTAATCCCTCCCTACTGATACATAATTACGTGGATATCGCCTCCAGGGTCTCTCCTACACCTCATTGACCGGTATTCAAAGCGACATGGCTTGATCTGGCGTTGATAACGGGTAAAGAAATATCAACGCGGGGACTGACTATAATACTTATGGCGTTTGTTTATACCCTTCGCCGACATATTCATACCATATCTACAGAGTACTCTCTCCACAAACATGGTCACAAGCAAACTCATATATTCAGATAAGACGACTGCCTATTCTAGGCTGTTCCAGCCCGTACAGGCGGTACATCCTCATTATGTGGAGGATCCTGACCTTAAAAACCACATTCTGCTGTCCAGGCCCACTTTGGAGATATACAGCTATCTCTTTCATGTACAAATCTTTGCAGGTAATAGCTAGGGGTACTCAACCTGGAAGAGTCATTATTGGAAATAGAGAAATACGTCGCATATATCGTGCATCTACCGTACTTCTGAGCTTGGGGAATATTACCCCGAATGGAAGGAAACTGTCCTGAATGCGCCGCCCCCGCCTCTAACTGAAATTTGAGTACTGCATGAGAAGTGCAACCTCAGAGAGCTTATAAATGAGAAGGAGGTCTAGTGGGCTATCCGAGGAGACAATATGCGAACTGCTGGCGAGAAGGGGTGGTGTTATCAGTCCTGTAATATGGAATTGCAGAATATATACCTCAAATTCTTAGTGCTGGAGCGATACACCACCTCAGTTAAAGCCTTGGTATGTAGTCCGGACAGATTGGCATGGTTAATGCCCGATACAAGTGCTTATTACTTCGCAGAAGATGAAACTAGCTAATCAACAAAATGCAATAATGGTCAAGAACCGGTTTTAACTCTCCTGGAAACTCTGTCAAAGATATACAGAGCGGCATATTTGGTCTAGATATACTATCTCTGTTCGCTAATTACCGCTGTAGCACTCACGGCTTCAAGAATTCAATAAGTGCAATTTAAGCTTGTGGGTCCTCGCTGTAAATCGCCGTTCATTGGCTGAACACATTCCAACACTTAAGTTACACCATGTGACCAAGTTATTACGTCGTCTGAAATAAAATTCAAGGGGCACTCGAATATTTACAGCTTTGTTTTCGAAAGATGAAGATATCAACAGAGTCGAAAGAAGTGCCATCACCACTTGAACTGGTAGCAGTCAAAGAAAGACAAGCTAACTACTAGCTGGTTACTCGCGCTTGTCGATCAAAAGACGGCCCTGCGGTGGAACACTGGCAATGTTGTACCAGTTGAACACTTCGAACTTCCCACCCTCCAGTTCTACCTGTGAATGCTTCACTAGAGCGAGGATCCAAGTCTTCATCTCTGTCGTATTGTTAGCTTAGTACCCTCATATGTATTACCAAAAGAGAAAATCCCTACCCATTATGCCCAAGAACCTCCCAGGACAAGACCACCGTCCTAGCCCGAAGGCCATATACCCTGCGCCTGCTGTGCCAGCAGACTTGCCAGTCCCAACCCACCGCAACGGGTTAAATACGTTCGGATCTGAATAGCACTCAGGTGATCTGTTTGATAGGTATGCGACTGGGAAGACCAAATAACCTGGTGACATTTTGTCAAAATCATGGCCGGCGATCAGGCTTGCTAGTTGTACAGCGTTCTCATACCTTTTGGAATTCTATACCCACCAAGCTCGACGTCCTTCATGGTCAATCTAGCAACGTTAATGGTGTCTCCTTTCATTCGCATGACCTCTCGGATGAAAGAGTCGGTTTTGACCGCTTTAGCTATTCCCGAAGAATCAAGGACAAAGCTTCCATCGGCATTCTCCTCCTCCTGAACAATGGACGAGATTTCCTCGTGGAGAATTTTCTGAGTCTCAGGGTATAATGCCAGGTAAAAAGTAACCCAGATAATGGCAGCAACTCTAGGATTTAGTCAGCTTTCCGAATTCAGTGAAGGGTGTTTTCGAGTGGTTACTGACGTCGTGTGGACGCTAACGAATGCAATAGTAATTATCAATACCATGATCCATATCCGCGACAGTATAGGTACGTAGCCATCTTTACCGGCATATCGACGCATGAGATACTGCACGATAGTCTCATCCTACACAGAGAGATGGTCAGAGGCATAACCCTTACACGCACAGAACACAACTCGCAACACACCTTTGTATCACGGGGGATGTACTTGACGGAAATATCCGCCCATAGCTCGCCAGAAAATTTCCGCCCAAAATCCCAGGGAATTCGTATGAGCATGATTCGGATCCTATCCATTGTCAATACCATTCTCACCTTCAATGGATGTTGGGGAGACCTTACCATGTATAGGGATGCCATAGGAAAGGCAATTTTCGTGCGGCCCAGGACTTGTTAGGGACCAATCCCATCAATTCTGTAATATCCTGAGACAGGGCAATGACGCTACTCTGGTATTCAACGTTGTTGTATTTCTGCGATAATCACGCTATCAGCTAGCTGCACCGGGCAGGGGTAATGTGCATGTAACCACGCTTACCTGACCAAGGAAGATGGTGATTGCTACTTCGGCCATGGTTGATTGCATTATAACCCAGATATCCATAGGATTTCTTTCCTGGCCGGCCTTCGTTATTTTCGAAACGACTCGTTCAAAAATTGGCCATACTATTGTCATAACCGACATTTAGCATGGTTGGAAATAGACAAAAAGAGTCACAGATGCATACTTTTGGGAATAGCCTGGTTCAACCGTCGACCCGAAAAGTCTCTCGCGATGATGTCTAGGTCACGGAAAAAGGACCCTTCATGGAGATTGATCAGCCAGTTAATACCGAGCACCTATATTTCCATCTTATTATTATTCGACTGTCCGAAAGCGTCAACCGGAAAGAGGAGCAATACCTCCGCCATGCCATTTTCAAAACTGAAGGACTTATCCTCCGTTAGGATCCTTCGGGTGAACTGTTCTGAAACAAGGTATTCTTTCTGCATGAAAGACCCTTATTATTAGCGGGTCTGTCGCTGTATAACAACCTGACTCGCACATGAAATGGCTGCTCTCACCCTGCCATTTCTTTTGACCATGATAACTGGGCCATGCTTTTGCAACCCTTCTGTCATCTTTTCGATGGGCGAATGTAGAAGTTCATAGTCCTTCGTAAGGTCAAGGTCAGAAATATATGGAACAGGCATTGGTTTTATTTGGCTTCTGTGGGCGCTCGACATACCGTTATCGGAACATAAGGAGGTAGGGGTAGCTTTGATGCATTCTAATGATATTGGACTTTTGTTAACCGCGTCTTTCAACTTTCAGGGGCAGAGAATAGCATTACCTTTCTAAGGATCAGGGATTTCCACAGCAGCCAGAGCGCGACGATAAACGCACTGCCTATGACAGCGAGTTCAGCCCTGGTAAACGCCATGGAGAGTTGCGTGTAAGGCATGTGTGCCATCTTGAGCATCCTGCCGCTGGACGTCGAAGTGAGATGTTATCTGATGGGCTCTTCTCGGAGTTAAGAATCCCTCCTCATTATATATTTACTACCGTCCCGTTGTATTGTTCTCTTTTTCTATATCGATCTAGTCTTCTTATGGTCATCGCCTTCGACTGCATGAACGCTGCCGGCACTCTCTACTCTTCTTTTCTTTTCTTTTCGTTTAACCTATTATATACTTATATTTTACTTTTATATTTCTTTTCGGTAACCTTAATATTTGAGTTCCTTTTCACTTTCTTTTCCAACTTCCATAAGCGTTCTCTGCGATACAAAGAACCTGGCTATCGGTAAGGGGTTGCACTCTAAATGTCGGCTGTCATATTGACAACAATAAGCAGCGCTTAATAGGAAAAAAGCAAAGCGCTCGCATGGCCCTGTGGCTCCCTTGACTAGCTAGTTAACTATACTAGCTAGTGACTGGCCTGGCCAATCGAGACGGCGGAGGACAAGGCTTTTCGTAGATGAATGAAAGAGAGGCATTTCTTGCTGCCCACGCCGCATCGAGTTTGGGTCAAAGAGAATATATGCCTCACGCTCCGGAACAACAATGAATGGACAAGTGATGCGCATTCATAAAAGAAGAAGATAAAGACCTCGCATGCCACAGACTGTTCGGGCGTAGCTGCAACAAACATGAATATATTTCTTGTTCCTCGCTCAAGATTCAAGTCGCCATGGCTAGCCAGCTGTATAGCAATTTCTCAACGCTGAAGAGCCTTCAACATGGCCCGACATATCTGGGGGATATACCTTCGATAGGTCTGTCCTCGCTAACAGCCTGCTATGATGGGCTGCTCTCATTCCTTCATTCTAGCCTGCTGGATGTCCAGCCAGCTTACAGACAGGCTGGGACTCTCTTTATCCTGACTTTGTGAGATCACCCATCAAACGGCTTGGAATAATCATTGATTGCTGCTTACTGACAGCTGTGATTTATATAGGGCAGGTCACACTCTCCTATTCGTTGTCATATCAACCATATGGTACATGCGGTCCTTTGACCACAAGTTACGCGTAGACAGACGATTCCGCCGAGCTCAGATTAGAGATGAGATTGTCGAGTCCTTGCTCGGTATACTGGGCATTGGGTTAGCGAACACCGTCTTTGGTATGCTACAGATACACGGGTATTCCCGTTTATATCACTCTATGAACGACGGACCTAGCCTGTGGTATGAAGTCATGCAGTACCCACTCGCGATGTTCCTTACCGAAACTGGGGTCTACTGGCTGCATCGCATGTTTCACCTCCCAGTGCTTTATTCTTATACCCACAAAAGTCACCATAGGTTCGTCAACCATCCCCCACTCTTCCCCCAAAGATAAGGAGCTGGGCAGTGATACTGACGCAATTTTTACATATATGTAGATTCATAATCTCGACTCCCTTCTCGGCCTTTGCATTCCATCCTGTGGAAGCTTTCATCATGAGCTTTCCCAACCTGGGAGTACCTTTCCTTATCCCCATGTCAACCACAGCATACCTCATCCTTTTGATGTCTAGTACTGTCGAGACCATCCTCAGTCGTACGTCAAGTCTTCCGAACTGTCGTGTTTTGACTACCTCGTTTTACCATGACCAAAGCTGATACTGCTTACCTATCTAGATGACAGCAGAGAAGGTTTTCACACAGTACATCATCTCAACCCCAAGGCCAACTACGGGCAGATGCTCACCGTCTGGGACGTGGTGATGGGCACATACCAAAACCCCCTGGGTTGTTTTCGGGGAGGGCCTGTGGGACCCCTGAGAATCACGCGAAAGAGCCGTAAATAGTTTTGGCCTTGCGCATTTTTTTACCTTTTGCTCCCTAACTACTGCATGCAGGGCTGGTTTATGAGCTCTGGAAGCGTGTCGGGAGAGACAACATTTACAAATACATTGATGACGCATGGGGAATAGGAGGGATTGGGTCAGTTTCGGTCAATGCGGACGGCGTTTTCGAGGTGAATACGCCGTGGTAGTTAGTTCCTTTATTCTTGTGTATAGTTTGGTCGTCGACCTTGATAGTTGAACTGACTCGCTCGTCAGTCAAGTTACGATCAATCTCGCAGTACATAGCGCATAGTCAGAGCGGTAGCTATCTACCTAGTTAAGTCGGTAAATATAAGTCTATTTCACAAATAGCTTATCAGTACAAACTGCCTCGAGGGCTACTTTATATACTAGTTAGTCACTGACAGTCGGCAGCTTATTTTTAGAACTCACCTGAATCAGCGTATGTACGCTGAGATGCCAAATACGTGCTAGAAGGGGCCTGAAACAGCCGAGGCATAGTAGGCTGGTTGGATTTGATATATGTGGCACGACGATCATCGCAGCAGCTTACCCCTGAACAACGACGGACAGACTGAGGGAATTTTAACCAAGCAATGCTCTCTGTAACCTCACTGTATTATTATACTTGCCAGCAGGACCGACAGCGAGGAAAGCAACAGATGGCGTCGTCGTGTTAGCTTACCGATATATCGTTGGTCAAACGGTAGTTAGCTTGTTAGCTACCTAGCTAGTTAGCATCCCTGGCGGCCTTGCATCCCGCGGCTGGGGAACAAAGCTGATGCCGGCAATTCTCCAGCCCTCGGGTTTGATCGACTTTGCAGAGAACCCTGCAGATACGGGATCGGGATTTGCTCTCGGCCACCTACAAGTCCCGAGATCTCGAGCCCGAGTCAGCTTGGGAGACCAGCTTCTGCGACCTGATGGGCTTGATACTATATCGAACCCACCTTTCGCCATCCAGTTCTGCTTGTCTATCTCGAGCGCCGTTTCGGGATCAGTTTCCGGACCAGATCGATGGGCGTTATTGGCCGGCTCAGCGTTTCGACCCTTCAGGCTCAAACCGTCAAGAAGATATGGCAGTCGATCGCTGTCCTGCAGCAATCACCTCATGGCGGCGAGGGTCCGTTGAGTGGCTTGCTGGTAGCATCCCTGTACTGCATGAATATATATATTTGAGCATTGCGTCCCTTCCTGGCCGGCCGCAGATCCAAGAGGAACAAGTTTACCAGGCTGGACAGAATCAATTGCCAAAATGCAGCTGTCTCTGATCACCCTCTGCACCCTAGGCATTGGAGCCACGGCTGTACAGGCAGCTTTGGCTCCCAACAGTACATGGCCTGTGCAGTCCTATAACAGCACCAAAATTCGTGCTTCTGTCCTCGAGACCACCAAGATGGGCGAGACAGACCCCGGATATATCTTTGTTACACCCTGGAACGGCCACCGCAGTGGGCACCCGTCAATCTACAAGGACGATGGCCAGCTCGTTTGGCAGGGGCCTGAGGGAACTATCTTCGGGTTTCGACCTCAGAACTTGAGTAACAACCCAATGCTCGTTTTCTGGGAAGGCGATTTTACGGGCACGGGCTATGGCCATGGTGCTGTCAATCTTCTGAACAGCTCTTATCACCTCGTGCACAAGGTCACTCTTACCGAAGGATACTTCAATACGGGACTGGATCACGAGGTTGAATCTCACATTGACTATCACGAAGGAATCGTTGAAAATGACAAGAAAGCTCTCCTCGTGGCCGCAGCAAATATCACTCAGGCAGATCTTCGCTCCGTGGGAGGTCCAGAGGAAGGTTGGGTCATTGACGGCTTGATCTACGATATTGATATCGAGACGAATAAGGTCCTCTTCCGCTGGAGTGCCGTGGAGCATATCGACCAAATCCCATTCAAACTATCTCAGCGTCCGCTGCTGGATACCGGCACCTCTGAGAAAAACCCTTGGGACTTCTTCCGTGTATCCTCCACCGTCAGATATGGGGATGATTACCTTATCTCCTGGGACTATGGATGCAGTGTCCTGCACATTGCTCGCAACGGTTCGGTTGCTTGGAACCTTAATGTAAGTGGCCTTTCCTTCTCCATCTACTGTGATACAATTGATGTTGATAGGCGGCTAATGCGGGATATTAGGGCATAACTGGAGGTGACTTCAAAATGAAACCCAATTCGAAATTCTGCTTCCAGTACGGCCTGCGCCTAGGAATGCATACTGATGAAAAGATCACCATCTCTATGCACAACAATGACAATTCAGAATTTAGCAATACAATGAACCCTACCACTGGACTTGTCTTGGACCTTGACCTTAAAAAGATGGAAGTCGTTGGACAGCGAAGAATGTGGAACCACGAACACCCTATCGTTTCAAGGGACCTGGGGAGCTTCCAGGCCCTAGGTACTGGCCATTGCATTGTACATCACGGTCAGATTCCGCTTATCGAGGAGTATAACAAAGACGATGAGCTCGTCATGCAAATCCGCTATGGACATGATTTGGTCGACGCCTCTTATCGAGTCCATCGAGTTTCCTGGACCGGAATGCCTATAACAAAACCGAGTGTCAAGGCATGTCGCAAGGCGGATAAAGATATAGTGGTATATGTGAGCTGGAATGGCTCAACCGACATTGAATCATGGAAGGTTTTCGAGGTGTCTGAGGGTAGCATGCCAAAGGAGATTAAAGATGAGGCGTGGACCGGGTTTGAAACTACAATACAGGCGCAGAGTGAAGCTAAGAAGGTTCTGGTTGCTGCGGTTGGCGGGTATGGTAATGGGGTAGAATCTGACCCTGTTACGGTGGATGAATGCTGATCTAGTCACTTGATTTCATCTTCTCTTTGACTTTGAATTCCGTGCTAGAACTGATCATAATGAACGGCCTATTGGCTATACTTTGACGTTATATAGTTGACACTATCCGTATACATTGAGTTATTGAATTTTCTCACCAACTCACACTATTCGGTTAAAACCCCATCTATGCAGGTAGAAGTTGATTGATGATAACAATACCGCGCTTTCCTGCCTTCATGTATTATTACGAAATAAAGTATGATTCGTGAGCAACAAGCGTTTTGGCTGAGCTGATATACTACAACAATAGCACATTAAAAGTGGGTGTCGTTGAGACAATGGTATATAGCAAGGGCAAGGCTCTGGTACTGCTCATATGTACGCTATTCCTGGTGACAATTGGGGATTGAATTGTCCAAGCTAGATCAAGTCCGTAGGATGGTCCAGCATGGCTAGGAACGATATGAGGTGAATCAACATAGACTGGTTAGTTATCAATCAACAAAAATTATCCCCAGCTAGGATGTGATGCTCAAATATTGCGGTATCAATTTAGTAATGTTGGTCTGTCAATTGTTTGTAGCGAACTACTAGCTAGGCGATAATCCAATAAGCATTCGGCATAACAAGTTAACTAGTTAAACCAACCAATAATAATTTAGTATTCATGATACTCGTTAACTTTGTGTCAAACTTCAGCTCTGCCTACCATTAGTGTGGGCTCACTCCTTTTGGTGTAGTGGCAGACTTCGACACTTTGTTAGTTCATTAGTTATAGTTAATGAACCAATGGAAAAAGCACAATAACTAGTTATTTTAGTGTATTCAAGCTTTTGTCCTCGAACATCCAGGGATGACGACCAGAGATATGCAGAGTGTCGAGTCTACCCATAAACTTCTCTTCATATCTTCATGCTCTCCTCCCTGCTGCTGCCTAGTCAAATACAATACAAAGGCATCTTGGACGCATGGCTCTTGATAAGGGAGTTAACGCGTAGCCACCATGGCTGCCATGCCTAGTGACAAATGATCCGCGAAATGGAAGCCAGACCGAGATATTCAAGAACAGAAACCTGACGTCCCGGAGCCAACGTGGGGTACTATCCAGTATGCATGGTGCTACTAGCGAAGGATCCAAGGATCTTCTTTCTCTTGGCCAGTCGGGATTGAAACTTTGACATGCATAAAAGCGTTCAGAACGAGCAGTCTGCTGACATTTATATTACTGGATCCCCGGACTATCTCTCTCGTTAACTCGCTGGTTGCCTCTCTGGCGTCTTGTTACTCTCGAAACTGTCAACTAGCCAGGATAACCGATCAAGATGGCCTCTTCCAGCCCATTACCCCTAATTGGGGAGCCCCAATGGAAATGGATTATTCCGCTTATTGTCACAGTCATTGCGATATATGTGAGAGGAAGCTAACTGTTTGGTTACCACGCCAATCTATAACCACTTGAAGGTACCCAGGAACTTAAAGATCCCTCGGCTAACCATCTGAATGCATCTAGATTCCACTGGTTGCGGCGTACCGTCTGACGCTACATCCTCTTGCGAAATATCCTGGGCCGCTCTGGAATAAGCTCTCTGACTGGCCATTTTTCTTCGAAGTCATAGGCGGTGACCATCATCTGGAATGTTTGAGGCAGCATGAAATCTATGGTATACTGAATATTTTCTTCGGAATAAAAAAAAAAAAAATCTAACTAGATTCTCGAGCGTTATAGGTCCAGTAGTGCGTACCGGTCCCAATAAGCTGTCAATCAACAGTGCATCTGCTATGCGACAGATATACCACCGCAATGCAAACGTGCAAAGAAGCGACTGGTATCTGACGCTATACGCTTCTACTTCATATGCGCATAACGTCCACTCTGAAACCAACAAGAAAAAACACAGCTTTCGACGCCGTGTGATGGGGCATGCATTCTCAGATGCTGCTCTAAGGTCTTCAGAAGAGTTCATCATTGAAAACATCAAAATATGCTGTGACCAATTGAGCAAGACAGCCACGTCTCCCGAGAACTGGGGAACTCCTCAGAATATGAACCACTGGTGTACATACCTCAGCTACGACATCATAGGAGATTTGGTATTCAATACGAAGTTCAACTGTCTTATAAGCGAGGAAAGCAGATATGTTCCCGCTCTGCTCATTGCAGCCACCCAATTTCTATACAATGTTAGTCGAAGCCCGTTGGTCCCTGTTGTCACAGCGTATTTCAACTAACTTATTCCTACTAGCTCGGTTATCTGCCATTTGCAAAGTTTGTTCGACCTTTACTCGGAACCAAAATAATGGAAATCCTTGGTGGAAAGTTGGCACGGAATGGAAAGCGTTATAACGAGTATTGCGCCGAGCAGATGAGCAAACGTCTTCAGTCTACTGACGTGAACGATCCTGGTTGCCATAAAAAGGATCTAATGCATTATTTAATCGATGCAAAGGATCCAGAGACTGGTCAGGGGCTTACACGTGCCGAACTCGCCGCTGAGTCAAATCTTTTGGTAGCAGCAGGATCTGATACAACATCTACGGCCCTATCTGGCGCTATCTTCTACCTTATTCACAATCCGGAATGCTTAGAGAAAACAAAGACTGAGATTCAATCCACCTTCAGTGCCGTCGAAGAAATCCGAGGTGGCAGCAAGCTCAATAGCCTTACCTACTTGCGGGCAGTTATTGATGAAACCCTGAGACTTAGTCCCTCGATACCAAGCAATTTGATGGTAGAAGTATTACCGGGAGGGATCACTATCGAGGGAAATTACATCGCTGAAGGGATGACGCTTGGTGTCTCACCGTATGTCCTTCATCACAACACACAATATTTTCAGGATCCTTTTGTTTTTCGGCCTGAACGGTGGGCTGGAACTGACAAATCATGCTTGGTGGTCTCCGAGCACAATAAAAGCACGATTGAAGACGCTGCCAATGCACGGTATGCCTTTTTCGCATTTAGTGCAGGCTCCCGAGGCTGCTTGGGAAAGAATTTAGCTTATTTGGAACTCATGATGACACTCGCAACACTCATCTTCAAGTTTGATATGCGGAGTCCTCCAGATGATGACGGGCAAAACGATACTGGAACAACTTATAGAAGGCATCCAGGTCGATGTAGAAAAGACGAATACCAGTTAAAGGACCATTTTGTGCCGGAGAAGCAAGGGCCAATGGTCCAGCTCAGGGAGAGGGCCTATAAGATTCAGCCTGCGAATGGTGTCTGAGGACACGGGATTTAAGTCAATGCAGGGACCCATCTACAATATGCAAATTTGCTCAATGATATGGAAACGGAGTATCTTTCAATACACTCCGTTAGCCGGAGTGTGTTCTCTGTTTATGTAACTCTTTTGGTTACGATACAACTGAGACATTTATGCAAGCCTTTATAGGATATAGAACTATGCATTCTGAAAAATTGTCAAAGCCCCTGATTGACGGGCTGGAGAGCTCACAGCTCTTCTTTGTCATTGTGCAGCCTGCCGAGATGCCCACTGAACACAGGCAGTCTAGTCCTATCTTTGGTTGCGAGGTAACTGTCATTTTCAGAAATGACGCATATACTCACAATACTTGAGGCTTCTCATGTCCTGGCCCATGCAGCCATTTTGGGTCGAATGCCATCCTCACTTGCTTGTTTCTCACTATGGCTGCATCAATATTGGTGTGCAAGATCGAGTGCGAGAAAAGAATTCTACCAGCGGTCATTCGAAGTAAGGTTGGAATTTATGGAGTACAGGAACCCGATGTTGCTCATCCACTTTGCCCATGAACCATATTGAGTATGCGTGCTGCCACTAGCAGCATTCAATAAGCCTAGAGCTTACGAGATTCGATACGTTCGGTCCTCCCTCGGATTTTCCAGATTGATACCCGGAAAATACTTGGCCTCCATGCAGTTCTAATTCCTATTTGGTGCTCATGTTTGGTGGATAGATTGACCAAGTAACACCAGGTCTGCCGGTTTCCCTGATATCAATATCTAACTTATTTTCCCCCAGTTTGCGCCTTTGGAGTCTATCTGCTTTCAGATGTTAGCTCTTCCTTCATGTGCCACAGGTTTCGGATAATCCTCCCGTACCGCTGATCGTGGAAAAGCGATCCCGTCTTTGATCAGGCATCGTTCTCCAACTGCACTTTTCCAGGGAAATCACTTTACCCTTCGCTCACGCGATATATTCATGTCATTTTAGAGCTGATCGCACGAGTTGCATGTCAAACCTGTGAAATCTTTAGTGGCCGTCCCGGCTGGTGGTGTAACGCATCCGTTTATTTATATTAACCGGTGGTGCATTGTACTACCCCAATGATTACGTCTACCGAAGGTATCATGGAAGAGGGTGTGCAACCAACACTCTGTACAGAACCTCAGAGATCATGGCGTATGAGCTAAATAAATGCTCTAAATGTCTTATGCATTTTGCCTAACGAGTAAGTGGTTTCAACCAAAGCATTGCCCGTGATAATGGCTTTGATGCACCATTCATACCATCTATGACTTTGAGAATCTTCGCCAGTGCAAAAACAATTTCTATGGACTTGGTCATTTAACATGGTCACCAACCAACGGGATCCTCTGATCGGGATGTCAGAAAGTTAACCACAAAAACACAGGCGATCCTTGACCTGGCGAGGCCTCTGCCCATGCTCAACTGGGGGCTTGTCCAATTCCCTTCATCTCTCCCAGTGCCACCTCCATAAGCAAGATACGCGGGCCGTCTACATCCCTTCCAGGAAAAACCCTTATGCTTGGTCTGCTGGATAGCTTCCGGTTATGATTATATATTCCAGGCAGCATCTCTTTATATGTATGCCTAGAAACTTTCAAACTGATATTTGGCACATCTATGACTGCGCTGCCCCGTGCCGGTATCTACACACATGTATAACCCACATGTTCATACTATTGCACATGCTTCACTGCTGGCAGATATAGTATGTGGCAGGTGAGTGGTGACGCCAGTGACGTTCTTGATACCCAGATGATTGGATTATATCCGATATATCTCCTACAATTTGCCCGAAAGAGTTACATTAACAAGTTCTAAATGAGTTCGATACCGCGTTCATGCTAAAGTATTTTGGTGCTGCTGTCCGACAAGGTCACTTGGTCTAGCATGGTGAGCTGGCTATAGACTGGCTTGTGGTCCCTAAAAAGGCATAAAGAATCTGTGGTATCCTATAATATGACTGTATCGGGCTCATGCGGTTTGCTCTGAACTACGTTCGCGGCAGCCACCCAGTTAAGGTATCATCAATGGGGCATGGGGTGCGACACTTGTGATGAAGGCTAATGTCAAGTACCGGTGATTATGCCTCAGCATACCATAAGGAACCAACAGGGGCGTCAAGAATCACTATATAAGTCCTGAAGTTGACCCTTTATATCTAAGTAAAAAATCATACTTTTTTCACACCATCAATTAAGTAGCAACTGTGACATACATGACCATGGGTTTTTTCCGCCATTTGTTTTCACTTTCTCTTTGTGCCTTGTCACTGGCCATTCCCTCCAAGTTAATTGGTCTGGAGAACACCCAGGATGTCATCCCCAACTCCTACATTGTTGTGATGAAGAGTACCATTTCAGAGGCCGAATTTCAAACCCACCAGGCATGGGCGTCCAAAATACACCGCCGTAATTTGGGTGAGCGAGATGAAACGTTGGGCGGGCTGGATGGTCTCAAAACAACCTTCGAGTTCGAGGGACTCAAGGGATATAGTGGCGCTTTCGACAAAAGGACGATTGAATTGATCAGTAGAAATCCAGCTGTATGTGGCTAATTGACCCAATCAGCCCTGCGTGTGCTTATGTCTGACTATCTCAACCAAACAGGTCGACTATGTTGAAGTAGACCGTGTGGTAAAACTAGATGCCATCACCACTCAACGCAACGCACCATCCTGGGGACTTGGACGAATCTCACATAAGAGTGCTGGTAGCTCTGACTTTGTGTTTGATGACAGCGCAGGGAGTGGTATCACTATCTATGGTGTTGACACTGGCATTGATATTAAGCATCCTGAATTTGGTGGCCGTGCAACCTGGGGAACTAACACCGTTGACAATGAAGATACGGACCAGAACGGCCATGGAACCCATACTGCTGGAACATTTGCAGGTGCAACATATGGAATCGCTAAGAAAGCCAACGTCATCGCTGTTAAGGTGCTTAACGCCCAGGGAACTGGGTCTACTAGTGGTGTTATCCAAGGTATCCAGTGGTGTACCGACCATGCTGGTAGAAATGGTTTGAGAGGCAAGGCAGCCATGAACCTGAGTCTGGGTATCCGTGGTTCAACTGTTTTCAACCGCGTTGCAGAAGCAGCGCAACAGTCCGGTATTTTTCTAGCTGTGGCGGCAGGGAATGATGGGGTAAGCATATCCTCCTTGTTCGTTTCCTCTTGTCGAGGCATATCAGGAGGCTAAGATACTTGAAAGACCGATGCAGCACAGTTCTCTCCAGCATCCGCTAGAGGTGTCTGCACTGCTGCTGCCACCAATTCCCAAGATGCGGCAACATCCTGGTCCAACTATGGAGCTGTTGGTATGTCCATTTCCCTTCAAAAGGCCCAGTAGAAGGGCCTTCTGCAGGCTCAAGAGGGCTTACACCCTTCATGTATAGTCGCAGTATATGGTCCCGGAGCCGATATAGTTTCAGCATATCCGAATGAAGACACAGCAACTCTATCCGGTACCTCGATGGCGTCTCCTCATGTCTGTGGAGTTGGGGCATATTTGATGGCACTGGAGGGAATTGGACCCGATAAGGTCTGTGACCGCATCAAGGAGCTTGCGGTGGAGAGCGTTACGAACCAAAAGCCCAACACAACCAGGAAATTGCTCTATAATGGCAGCGGCGCCTAAATCCATTACCAAGCCAGCGGTGCTGAGCCGGCTGACAGGCGTAGGAACGAATCTTCTTACTTTCCTGCTAAGTCACTAGGATGGTGCATGCAAGCTTGCTGTGATATTTCACAGTATATTTTTGGGCTCTTGGAGGAAATGCTTGGGTTATCATGTGGGATAGGAGTAACTACTCCGTAACTAGTCGATGCTGTGTTTAGATCACATGTAGTTAATGAATTGACTGAGGGTTCACGGCGTATCTCTGATTTGACTCAACTGGTAAAAAGAGGGGTCCTTCAATCTATAGCACTTAGTGTAATTCGCTACAAACTTTTGAATCAGCTGGCCTCAGGTAGTTACCAAGGTCGGAATGAAATATCCGGGCGTCTATCTCCACCGACTGCAACGCTACCACGAAAACCGCTTGGCCGGGAAACAACATGAATATTGTGATGTTATCTTTACTTTAAGTATGCGGTCGTAGACGAGGGGCAGCGGCTCTCTGAGACGTGGAGGCTCCCCCGGAGGAGCAACTCGAGCTGCCTGAAATAGTCAGTATTACAAAGTATTTTAATATTTAAAAGAAGGGGGAATAGATTACCTAGGGCCTTTAAGTACCTTTAACACTATTTAGAGGCCTAGAGGAGCGTTGTGGTAGAAGATATATTTTCTAAAAATGGCCATTTTGTATGGGAAAATATGTGTTTGTTGAGCCTGTAATGTTCGTTGAGCTGGCGGACCCTGTTTTGGCCCGGTTACCTAAAGTGGGTTTCAAGACTCCATACGAATATACTTTAGTCTATTCTTAGGTCATACTCTGTCGTTGCCAGAATCCACCAATCATATGAAATAATAACTGTATCCCATTTTGGCCATACGAGTGCTCCCTCAGCTCGCAATAAAAGAAAAAGAAAAATTCACTACTCCCCATTGGATTATTAGCCAACTGTTGATCATGTATTTCTATTGGCTAATAATATCTGTTATAAATTTATGCGCGCCCATTCAACCAATCAACACTATTGACCCCTTATGCTTGCAACGGGGTGCACGGGCCATTTAGCTTTTAACTAGCGATAGCAAGTCTTGGCGCACGTCACTCCCTCCAGCAACTTCGTCCTTTTAATGTCCTCTTCTTTCAATGCCACAATTCTGCTTCTCCTCGAACACATTATTGCATGAGGGAAGGAACACTCCAGAATTAATAGCAGGACATAGAGTTGCAGAAATTTTCACTCTTCTGGTCATTTGTCATTTTCCTTCCGTCAAAACGACCATGGGCAGCATCACAAAATCCGAGCCGTCAGGGCGCTTGCTCAGAGGCCAGGGACCTCCACCAACCCCGACGCCAACCCCCCAAAAATTATTCAATATCGTCCGTCAAAAGATCCTCGACGCCTACGAATTCCAAGACCTATCGTTTCAGAATATCTCAGATGCTACTGGTGAATTAGTGATAACTTCTCTTAGCGAGGACCAAGACGTGGAAAACGCGTGTCCACGGTTAGTGTTTCTCTACAAATCTCTGTTATGGCTAGTTTTTAATAACTATGACAGTATAAACTACAATTCATACACTCAAACTCTTGACATTAGAGTCATGCCAACATTTATCCATGACGCGCATCAGTCATGGCTAGTAATGGAGATGTCGCGCATGGTTTCAACGGGTTTTGTAACCCAAGCAGAGTTTGACTCAGTTTCCTTTTTAGTCGGAACAAGTATGCATCTCCATCCTTACCTTGGTTTTACACTATTGCTAATTGAGTAATAGCATTTCGAGGCTTTCAAGGGCGCTACGCCAATTCCTCCAAAGAACCCGACACTTGTCTGCTCCCAAGCAGCCAGCATTTTCCAAGCATTGTCATTGAAACGGGTTGGGCAGAGTCGTGGCCAAAGCTTAGTAGGGACAAGGACCTCTGGCTACAAGGCGGCTGTCCCGAGGTTCTACTAGTCTTCTTAATTAAGTGGTCAAACATTACCAGCGATAGAGTGAAAGGTATCATTGAAGTTCACCAACGAGATAGTGGTGGGACAAAGCTGCTGCAAACAGAGGTACCACGATCCAATTCTATCCACACATTTTTGTTTATTTGTTTATTGAGGAATATCTAATTCGAAGTAGGATATCTTTCCACGCCCGGCTACTTCATCTACACAGTCTATCCCTATATCTCGTCAACAATTTCTCGGATCAAACCTACAAGCAGGGGGTAATACTACCCAGATATATGAGCTTTCAATAGATCGTTTTCGGGAAAAAGCTGAGGGATTCATAAGAGGAAAAGGTTTGACCCCAGCTTAATCACGCAGTGGAGCTTAAGTTGCAGTTGGCAATGCCTCAGATCTAAACAAGATATTTCCCCAATACTGTTGGGGATGACGGCAATCTTTGAAAAAAGGAAAAGAAGTTTTCTTCGCCTTCTCGATAGTCAGTTTTCGTTCTCCGGACCAGAATCGCAAAACGAAACACTGAAATCCTCCCTTGGTAAGTACAGGGCATACAAAATACCATTTCCACGATGTTATCTAGGAGGTTCTGAGTGGTAGAAAATAAATTCATAGTGCCGTCTCCTCGTTTACCTTATATATACTACATATATGACATCCGCTATATGTATATCTCTGCGACGTTGACCCGCCCCTTCTCCGTCGCTTCACGCAGCAACTCCCCTTCCTCATCGCGCTCCGGATACTGCCACGAGTCTTTAACAACGAGGGTTGCTCGGAACTCATCTCCGTCAAGATGCGTTGCGTCCTCCAGCATGTCATCGCTCGCCCAAAACGCACTCCGCACTCCTGACCACCTCGTCAATGACCAGGCGCTCTTCTCTGCTGTCCCGCTCTATCTTTATGTAGTGCGAGCCATCAGCATTAGCGTAATACTACTATACCCTATGGCATGCTGTAATTGTGGTTCTGCACTCGGCGGGAGAGAGCCACTTAGTAATGAAAGTGGCACATTAATGGTTCGAATCCAAGCCATCTCAGCTAATTGTCCTCTCCATTTGGAGTCCTAAGACGTAAGACTTCAATATGCCGGGTTGTATAATAAAAGCTTCATCTTGCAGGCGTCCATAAGCCCCTCTTCAGTCGTTACTTATAATAACGAGTGGAGTTCCGGCAGTCACCACAGGGACCTCTTGGGCCTATGAGCGCTAGCAGATACCTCAAGGATGGCTGAGACGAATCGAAGGCCCTCCTCGCGGATGTCAAACCGCTCGGACGCAATCCCTCCCAGGTGGTGAAAGTACTATAGCCTCATGAGCGACCTATAGAGCGTGAAGCCTAGCACGAAGAGCCGAGAGTCCTGTGTAGCTAGCACCTCCCTCGCATATCCTCCCTAGGTTGAGCCTGGACTGGGTTTCGTAGCTTGGGTTGTTCTTCAGCTCTCTGGGAATAAGTAATGTCCACCTGGCCGAAGAGTCAGTCACGTGTAGACCACCAACTTACTAAGCAAGTGAATTACATAATTAAGTACTCCGTAAGTACGTAAGCAACTACTTATGTAGTTCCAGGCTGGGGAATGCGGGGTTGACCAGGGGGGCCATTGTTATTTTGCCTGCGACAACTAAAATCCCGGACTCTTTTGACTGCAACGCTGGCCCACTCGGCTAGCTAGGACTTGCTTGCAAGTTAGACTGAGAACATCAGCCTCCGGACAGAAAGCCTCAGGGGGTCGCAGCCAACGAAGCGAACGACAGGGCGTCCCTTGGCCGTCCAGGGCGGCTGGCTCGAGTTGGAGGTGACCAACTAAAATCTCCGGCACGCCGTTCCAGAAATTAAGAAGCCAGGAGTCGGAACAGACCCTTCAAAGGCTTGTTGTATCGCGCTTGAGTACAGGTCCAGCACATCAATCAGCGAAAAAAAAAAAAAAAAAAGGCACAGCTTAAAATAGTCTTGTCATGCCTATATATGTCACTCTGAAACAATTTCCAGGACCTTGCAGGGTGGACACGATTCTCATGCCATGTTGGCTTCTCTGGTTTGATTACGGTTGTTTATCTGTGGAGTCAGCCAGAGATCGGCACGGCGGTCTTTCAAACGACCCGTGATGGATGTTCATGACGCCCCATCTCGTACTCTTCCACTCAGGCGTGTTTTGCGTTAGGCTGCGCTTGTTTGCATGTGTGGTCGACAAGTGACGTCTTGTCATGCCCATGATTGCATGCTCAGTTGCGCGCGGCCTTGCCGTATGCCGTGATCGTCATACAGGCTCTGATATCGTAACCACCTTGTGAAGAACGCCCTAAGACAATCTGGTAACTATATGGGACAAAACGGCTGGCTGCGGCAGAGGTCATCTTGTTCCTGGTCCTGCTTCTCGCGTCATGAACCTGCCCGGTTGCTAAGATTACCCGAAATAGCCACCCCATCTGTGAGGGTGAGCGCTTCATATGCCTCTCTATAACCAGTACTGGTTAAGAGTGCTACCCGTCTATTGGGTAGTTTTCTTAAGGATATTGTGTCAGGTTGTTAGGGGCTCTGTGCCTCCTGAGGTCGAGCCACAACACAGCACCCGTGTTTGACATGAATGGCAACGCCATGTGGGTGCTGCCTTTACGCTTCATAATGTGGTCAAAACTTAAGTGTACGGAGTGCTCTCTGGCCCATTATTATTGTTATTTCAGTCTCTCAGACAGCCTTCTCCACCTTGGAGGGAGAGGAACTTAATTCACTACGGCTGATGTTCTTTTTTTTTCCCGCTGATCGGCAAATTTGAAGCATGCGTGTTGCTATAAATACTGGGCTTCGTTCCATCACGTCTGCTGAAGTTAAGCAGAAAACCTCAGACACTGGTGTCTGGCTTCTTCCGGCAGTTGTATTCCCCCTTTTATTTTTTGGATATCCAATTCCTCTACCCTCGCAACAATGCAGTCCCTTTTGTTGCTTGCTACGCTTCTAGGCTCTGCACTGGGCGGTGCCATTCCTTCCCAGAGTGCAAACTATAATGGATACAAAGTCATGCGCGTGTCTGGAGATGATACCAGCAAGATCTCGCACATTGTTTCCAAGCTGGGCCTGGAGACCTGGAAATTCCCCAAGGCCGCTAACGCTAATGTCGACATCGTCGTTCCCCCCAAGAAGGTAGCCGAGTTTGAGAAGATGTCACACGCTGCTGGCCTCAAGAAACAAGTCATGCATGAGAACCTAGGGGACTCTATTAAATCCGAGATGTCCTTCCGTCCTTATTCCTGTGAGTTGCTTACCCTCCGTATGTCGAGTCATATTACCTGGCTCAATTACTTACGTTGAGTTTTCGCAGATGGCGGCGCCAACGATACTTGGTTCCAGTCTTACCACAAGTACGAGGATCACTTGAAGTTCATGAAGGACTTTCAAAGTGCTCATTCTCAGAATTCTGAGATCGTTACGTCTGGAAAGTCGCATGAAGGCCGTGATATCACCGGTGTTCATGTCTGGGGAAGCGGTGAGAAGGGATCCAAGCCAGCTGTAGTCTTCCATGGAACCGTCCACGCTCGTGAGTGGATCACCACCATGGTAAGCTAACCATAAGGTATCCTTTCAAAAACATAATTATTACTAACTTTATATTTACTACAAGACCGTTGAGTACATTCTTGCCCAGCTTTTTGATGACAAAGAAGCCGGAGCTGCTCTTCTTGAGAAGTTTGACTTCTACATCTTCCCGATCGCTAACCCCGACGGTAGGATATCATCCCCATCCACGATCTTACCTGACACAGTTACTGACAGTTACTAACCTCGGATAGGCTTTGTTTTTACTACTGAGAGCGACCGCATGTGGCGCAAAAATCGTGAGCAGAACGAGGGAGGCTGTTATGGCACTGATCTCAACCGTAACTGGCCATACAAGTGGGAAGGTGATGGTTCCACCACTGATCCATGCTCCGAAACCTATCGAGGTACACACCACTGCCACCCGAGACATATCTACTATAGATGCTGACCCGTAGTACAGGACCCTCTCCCGGCTCTGCCCCAGAGACCAAGGCTAGCACCAGTTTCATCAAGGGTCTCGCTGATGGGGCTGGCCTCAAGATGTTTGTTGACTGGCACTCGTACTCTCAGCTATTCATGACCCGTAAGTTCACTCCATGTATAGTATTCAGTAATGCACCGTACTAAACCACATGTTCAATAGCATACGGCTACAGCTGCTCTGCTCGCGCACCAAACGATGATGTCCTCCAGGAGATGGCAAGCTCGTTTGCTGATGCTGTCAAGGCCGTCCATGGAACAAGCTTCACCACTGGCCCTATCTGCAATACCATCTACCAGGCCAATGGTAACTCTGTCGATTGGATTGTCGATGAAGTCAAGGGCGAGACAGCCTTCGCTGCAGAGCTCCGTGACACTGGCATGTACGGCTTCGTCCTACCCCCAGAGCAGATCATCCCAAGTGGTGAGGAAACCTGGGCTGGCGTCAAGGCGATGTTCAGCAAGCTGAAGTAAGCTGGCTGCTCTCTGGTCTCTGTAGTTAAAGAGGTGTAGTCCTGGGACTACTCTTTGTTTATAATACCTTACTTCTTGTACATAGTTGTGTGGAATATATGTATGCCGCTGCGTTGGTGTAGCCGCACTTCATCTCCAGAACCTAGCTCCTCAGTCTATTATCTTTTATCATATACTGCCAACTGCCATCTGGATCTCTATACGTGTCGCATCCATGGACGCAATGGCGCTTAATCTACCACGTGACCGATCTCAGTCACCAAAGCGATCGCTCTAAAAAGTAGCTTAGTTCAGCCCTACGTCAACCGGCTTCTCCCCCTGGCAACAACAACTGCATCATTTGCTATCTTTTCCTCATGCTGAGAGCTGGGAGACATCACTAAAGGCCAACAGTACAGACCCCATGTATCCTAATGGAGCCCGCCGCCGCAGGGCCTACCACCTCGCGCTTTCGAGAAACCTCGGCTGCCTCTCATCCATCGCAATCCGATGAAGCCAACGCTCCCCGCATCGCGCACACACTGACAGCTTGCATAAGGTGCAAACAGGTAACGGCCATCACACCCTTTGCTTTTTATTATGCATAGCCCTTTATTCCCCTTTATTCCAGCAAGCAGCCAGAGTCGTCTAAATACCCGTAAGATTAGTGCCGGGACTGATGTGTGTTGAATTTATAGAGGAAATCCCGATGTGACCCAGGCATCCCCCGGTGCGAACCTTGTAAAAGAAGTAATTCGAAATGCGAATACTATGACCACACCAAAGAAGCTACCATATCGCGTGCATACATTCTAGAATTACGGGAGAAAATTAGAAAGCTCGCTCGCGAGCTCGAGGAGCTCGAAGATGAAGCCGACCGGGCACCGGATGCTGAAGCTATGGCGCGTGGAGCTGGGCTTATCAAGTTCAAGGAGACGGACGAATCAAGGTTTTTGGGCCCTTCGAGTGGTATTGCCATTACCCGGTTTGTGATGGACATGGCAAAACAGAATACAGGTTCAAAATCCATCAAAGAGGTGGTGAATGAGAATACCGCGCAGCAGATCAAGTCGGTCTTTGATATCGAAAGCCAAAAACCAACTTCGAAGGTTTATCCTATGATCAGTTCTGTCGCTGAGCCGGATCTACCCCCTCGACAACTCACGAATAAACTTATTGATATATTTATTGCAAAGGGTAAGCATATTCGCCGCTTCCGGTTTTGGACATCATGGAGCTAAATATATTCTACGCAACAGCTCAATATATGGTTCCCATACTTCATGAACCCACTTTTCGTTCTGATGTCGACATCGTTTTTAATGGATCTCAAGATCCATGCCGGAATTTCCAACTGCGTCTCGTCATCGCCATTAGCATGCAGAGACTCAGTACCCAGTATGCGGGACTGGCTGACAGTTACTACTTAGCAGCCCTGCCTTACTTCGATGGGTGCTTGGCTAGGATGGATATTTCTACATTGCAATGCTGTGCACTTATGGGTTTATATTCCCTTCTTACGCCAACCAGAACAGCGGCCTATTGGGTGGTTGGAGTTGCAGCCAAATTATGTCAAGACCTCGGTATATCCGACGAAGAGACTGTCACCAGAGGTGCCAACGGAGAACAGCTCAATTGTCTCGAAATTGACATGCGACGGAGATTGTTTTGGATTATAACATCCATGGAATATGGCCTTGCCCATAGTCTTGGTCGTCCGAGCTCGTTCTGCGTGAGCCATGACCATATCAACGTCAATTTCTTCCAAACCTGTGATGACCGCTATATTACACCCAACGGTATACTACCCGGGGCCCAACCGATAATGAAGAAATGCATTGCAATTCATTTTTTTAAAATGAGACTTCTGCAAGCTGAAATCAGACGCAAGTTGTACCTTTGCAAGCGACCAGCCCCGTTGGACGATAGGGATCCGTGGTTCACGCAGATGATAGATAAGATGGACCGATGGGTTGAATCATGTCCAAAAAATGATGAAGGCAGTGGCTTTAGCCAAATGTGGTGAGTTTTCCTTTGGTAAAAAAAAAAAACCTTTGATTCTAGAACGCCATCTAAGTATCATTATTAGGTTCCAAGGTAGACGCAACACAATGATTGTGTTCATGTACCGCCCATCTCCACAGATTCCTGAGCCTTCACTCTATGCCGCTCAAAGATGTTATGATGCCTCAGTTTTTAATGTCAAGATACAGCACCAACAGGTTGCCACTGGGACAATCGATCTTACGTGGATATTTACACAATCTGTATTCATGGCACTAAACACAATTCTATGGTCGCTTTCGTACCCTGAAATTCGAAAGGAACATCCCGTTGGAGATGTAATAGGCGAAATCCGCCTTGCGATGGAAATTCTTGCTATCAGTTCCGAACGTTGGCCAGGAGTTGAATCTGCTCTGGAGCTCTACAAAAGCCTTATTTCGGGCTGTCTGAAGGCTTATGCAACTGATGAGTCCTATGTGGTTCATTCACCGCCATCTAATCGCCCTTCTCCGGCGCCTAGCTCTGACTTCGCAACACCTCCTCCCATGGCCCATTCACCCAACACAGCCGCTACCGTCCCATCTCCAGTATCTCAGTCCAAGACCACACCAAACCGACTTAGCTCGAGCCCTTATGAACCTACACGTTCTCGCACCTCTTTCGAAGCTGCAAGACTTCACCCTGGACAGATCAAGTTCGAATCCACAACTCCGCCTCCTTCCCTCGCAACAATGACAACAATACCCTATGAGCTGGCACCGCCACCTCAAGTCGCTTACACGAATGGGAATGGATCGAGCATTGATCCTAACTCTAGCAGCCCAGCGCAGGCATTTTCATCTCCTGTGGCTCATTCACTCGCACGTTGCGATGTCAGTCCTACTCCAGCGAACAACTTTGACCCAAGCTCATTCCACAATACTTTCCCTTCAGTTGTGCCTGGCCTACATCACTGGGACCCCAATTATACTACAGCATCCACAACAGCCAGTTATCTTACGTATCCTAGTGCCACAATTGATCCCATGTCATGGGTAGGCACTATTGGAGAGCAATACTCCCAATTCTTTAACCAGCCGTACCAATCCAATATATTCCGGGATCGAAGGCTGAGCTATGAGGAACATGCGGAACTTATGGATACCCTCGGTCACGATCTACCAGACGTCTCACAACTGGCTGAAGAAACAGCTACGTTTTATACTCCCAGCATGGTACCTTAACATAACACTGTGCTGGCACTCCTTCAATTACCATTCTGGAACCCCTATTTCACGTTATTATTAATTCCTGGCTTGTGCTTCTATACTAACAAGTGATATTACGTCGAGGTGGATAGTCATATTTCCGTTTTTCGTTCAATTACGGGCCCGGGCTTAGTCTTGCTACCTCTCCCATGTTTTGGGGCGGGAAAAGTCCCTTCGTCACTATTTATCCTGTCTACATATATATACCCCAGGAAAACAGAATAGCCTTATAGCTCTATCTTTACCCTCAAGGTCCATGCAAGATTATTAATGATGAGTTGAGAACTTTTAACTACTTCAGTTTCTACGGGCACTTGAATGGTACGATCATTATGGTTTCATTGATCCCATATACCCCCTTCATTTATGCTCAGCACATTTTGTCTAGGTGTTGCAATATCCAATTATTGGATACAATTTTGGTTCTTGTAGCTAAATCCAATCAATTCTTTGGTCGGTCAAATAGGAAAAAATCATTGTATTCAAAACAACAAAAGATACAATTTATCACCCACGGGATGACACCAAGGTTGGTTAGTTTAATTTTTCTTTGGAAATAGACAACATATGTACGTTAGTTGCGCTTACGATACACGGGCTATTTGGTTTGTCAAACCAAACAGCCAAACCCCGTATCATCAGCTCAGGTTGCTCTCCCGCAAAACATCTCTTCGGGCAAGAAAAGAAAAAAGAGCAACAAGCAAAAGGTTAGAAAACAAATAACATCAGGGAAATGAAGTATTATGCGGAGGCTTTTCTGAGAGTGAATCTATTGTCACTCTAGCCTTCGCCACGTTAACGTTAAGTTGGGATCGAACCTGAAAAACGTCGCTGTGTAAAAGGCAATAGTAAAAATATGGGAATGAAAAGAAGGCAGATAAAAACGACAAGAACCCAATATAACCACCGTCCTGTTGAATCTCCGGAAACACCGCGAAGTAGGGAAAAGAAGAATGACTGCACATCTAACGCCGTTTTGACCGAAGCGGGTATATCCTGCACCACTATGCAAATTTGAAGAATTAAGGAGCTTTAAGTCCGAGGTGTCAAGAGAGTAAAGGTGGGAAGGGGGAGTAGGAGATATGTAGCCTCGTGGTTTGCACCGAGATATGTTTGGTGTGGAAAGAAATACACTGACCGTTAATGCTGTTGAGGGTGAGTAACTGGAAGAGTAGAGGAAAGATGGGGTGGGTTTGTTAGTCCATACGAATGCATGGATTCATTGTTTGAAAGGGTAGTTTAGCAATGATGCTCCACGGGTCACAGTTGCTTATTCGAGGTCTATTGTCATCGGGCACCAATGCCGAACATTCCAACGCCGTAGCTGCCGCCTCGCTCGAAAGGCGGAGGACCTCCTGTTGCATGTTCTTGCTATAATATGGTAAGTACGTGATATCAAAGAGTATAAAAGATAGGGTACCAAGAATAGGTAGGGCAATAAACATGCAGGAAGAACGAACCATCTTCTTTCGTTTTTTCTTGCCTACACTGCCCCCATCGTCATCGTTGGAGTAGAGAGAGCCTTCCAAGTCATCATCATCAGGAAATCCTTCGCCATACCCGACAAAGCTGCTGTCGTGGTAGCTTCTTTTGCGGCCTGCACGTTTGGGCCGACCTGGATCTGGTGCAACTGTCGCAGAAGAGGCTTGAGCCGCGGGTGTACCGTTGCTTTGAGGAGTGTTTTTGAAGGAGCTGGAGACCAGTTTCTTCGGTAACTGCTCAGCAGCATTCTTCGATGATTTTTCGTGCCCGAGTACATCTTCCCAATATTCATTTCTTGGCGTAATACCTGGCTCCATTTTCATAGCTCTGAGTTGTTGCTTGTAGAATGCGGTATCCGGCTCCGCGATCGTAATCTCCTTGCCCGCAACCTTTTGGTTGTACCATTCTTCATCAGGCCACATCATTAAGTTCCGTAATCCACCAGGGGCACCCGGTTCTTGTTTAACCGGCTTATTTCTACCGGCCAGGCCTAAACCCTTGATCTTTCCTTCGTAAGACTTCCGTAGCCGATTTATCTTCTCACCTGTTACGGGATCTGTGCGAGCGACCGAGGCGGCTATAGGTCCAAGACCGTAAAGTGATATGATATCGAACTTGGGAACTGGCAGAGTTGTGGTGTACGCTATCCGTGTTAATACATCATTATCCAACTCAAGCGCCAATAGAAAACTAAAACAAGGCACTTGAACAGGGAAAATCGGCAAGAAGAAGCCTTACTGGATTTGCAGAGGCCTATTGCCTCTCCAACGTCTCGCTGGAGAGACTCTAGACTTGGTTCTTCTGACAGGCCAGCTCCTTCTTTCAGGTCAACATCCATAGGATCATGATCATTACTATCGTTAGAGGATGGTTTCTGCGTATCGACACTCTTCTCGTTATTGTGGTGGTCATGCGCAAAATGTTTCGTGTCGCTTCCAAGCGTCTCGAAAGGGATCTTTCCGTCAGCGAATGACGCGGCGATCGCCCCTGAGCCATCAGATCCATCTCTTGCGAGGCCGCTAGTACTGCTAGCTGGAGTTGGGCAGGAGGTGGACGTCGTTACAGTCGACTGAGAGACCGAGTGTGGCTGCATGGCGACTGACGACGGGGGAGAAGAGAGGTTAGCCGACTGGGCGGCCGTATGGGCTGGAGACGTCGACTTTGTCGTGGACGAGCTTGATTCATAGTTCTGAGGACTGAATGACATCAACGGGGAGAGATAAGTGACGGCAAAGGGCGCTTCAGCTGGTCAAACGAAGAGTGAACGCGGGCGTGGCTCCGGCGAGCCTGGATGTGGCGATGGTGGAAGGGATCGGGTCGGGGAACAGACGAAGAAGAAGACGAGCGGGCGGCATCAGACGGCGGCGGCGGCGCGGCAGAGAAGAGGATGCTGCCAGGACGAAGCGATCCAAAGCCCTCTATCGTCTTCTTCGGCGTGCGTTTCGAGCAGGCGGCGGCGTGTAAAAGGTCAAGATCCTGCGGCAAGTGGCTTGTGAAGTTGCAAGTTGCAGAAGTTGAAGTTCGACGTTCTTCTTTTGGGGGCAGGAAAAGTTGGAGGCTTTGCTTAGTCAGGGATTAGTCAGGACTTTCTTTTTACCTCGCAAAAAAGCTTCTATTATTATTTATCTACTTCAACAAACATCGACAGGACGACAAGTCGACAAGGCGGCAGACGACAAGAAGGACAACAAAGACACAAAGACGAGAGAGAGAGAGATGCAGGCGGAGTCGAGGCCGAAGGATGCAGACAAAAGGAGACGTTTGCTTTGTGTGTAACTGCTGTGCTACGGTAGTGAAGCCTCAACCGCGTCCACTAGCCCAGCCAGGTCGTCAAACTGCCATCCTGCATCGAGATGCTCGCGGACATCGGTTCCCATGCTACTCGATCCGTCCCTTCTCGAGATCCAGACGCTACTGAGGCCCATCTTCTTCGCAGGCTCATGATCATGGTGCAGACTTTGCGCTACGTGAAGGATGTCTGCTGCCTCGATACCAAACTCGGACTTGACGTGTGAAATCAGATACTCGAAGTTGCGCAGGTTCGGCTTGTACGATCCAACATCCTGTGCCGTATAGATGGCGTCGAAGAAGGGCTCCTCTAGTGCCAGTCCATCTCGCAGTCCTGCCATCGGCCCAGCCAGCGTATTGGAGAAGGACTCGCGGTCCACGTTTGACAGCGGGACGAGCTTGTACCCTTTCTTCTTTAGCCGGCGCATGGCGGCTACGGTGTCAGGAAAGGGGGGCCAGCGGCCGACACTATTGCCGAATGCCGTTGACTCTTTGTCTAGGAGAGGCTCTGTTGCTGGGAGAGATTGTGTCTCCCTTGCTAGGCGCTCGTAAGCCTCCTTGACGACCAGGTTGTAAGCTAATCTGGGATTATCCACTTGTATAGCCCGCTCATGTTTACCGTACAAGTCTCCAAGCTTCTTCCTGTCTGTTTTCAGGGGATTAGAGTCATCTAGTCGTTGAACTAGAGGCTCGAGGGCCTCGTGAATTCCAGTCTCCCAGTCGATCAGAGTGCCAAATATATCAAATGAAAGGAGACGGAACGTGCTTAGGGGACGTTTACAGTCCATTTCTTGTTTTGATCAAGCAAAAGCTATCTGATGTGGTAGTGCTGTCCAGAAGATGAAAATGCTCGCCTCAGTCCTTTTGTACCTTCGTTTATTTTCTAATACGTTCTTGCGCATTCCCTCGGTTATTATCTAAACCAAGCTAACGTGGGGGTGATGACATACCGGTTTGTCATTCCCTGCTTCATTGAGGTCATGTCATGTGGGGACCGATCTTTCAGAAATCTTTTGTATAAACAAGCCAGCTATGCCGAGTCGAATCGGTGGTGCTTTACAAACATTATACCATTTTATAAATTTTAACCCATCTAAGCAGAAACGTTCTGATTAATGACCTCACCAACCGATTTCCAAGTAGCACCAGCCGGCATGGAAATGACACGGCGTTCCTTCTTCTCTAGGCCAACGAACTCTGGAGGAAGCACGTTATCAAACGAATACCCCTTTTCGTTTCGCAGAGCCGCATCCACCGCTTCAGCAAATTTGGCCGGATGTGCTGTTGACAATGATATGTGAAAGGTCTCTGCGCACCGAGATATCGATCTCAACGACGCCGCAACTCCAATGGCGGAATGTGGGTCAAGGATGTATCCCCCTGTTTCTCCTCTGGTGCCAGCGCTGACAGGGGTCTGCGGGAAGCAAGTTGAGTAAATGGATCGAATAGTGTCGATCGTCTGCTCGTTAGATACCCGCTCACTCTCGAACTCTTGCTGAGCTGCCTGGAGTATCTTCTCGTCAACTCCAAATCCTCCCTTGCTAGAGAGATCCTGGAGCCAACCGAGAACAGTATTGCCAGCGATTTTTCGCTTCTCGTCGATATCTCCTTGACCATATATTTTGTAAGCAAGGAACCAGAGAAGCCGCTCAAAATTGCTTGATACCAGAATATCCATAGCAGGACTCCAGGTTTCTTTTACAGCGGATGGGCTGGCTTGCGTCTCAGGCTGTGCTTGTTTCGTGTACTGGCCTGTTTTCAAGAACCTGTCAAGGATGTCATTCTCGTTTGTGGCAATAACCAGTTTATCAGCTGGAAGACCCATTTGCTTTCCAAACCAGCCAGCCTAGAATGGAGAAAGGAACAGATATGTATGAGCCATTAATTTCAGGTAATTCATTGTTTGAATTATGCAAAACTCACCAATATATCACCAAAGTTACCTGATGGCACGATAAATCGAATAGGCTTGTCCTTGACGTAGGTTGGAGATCGAATGAGGGAGAAATAAGAATGGAAGTAGTAAGTTATTTGAGCAAGAATTCGGGCCCAATTTATCGAGTTCACAGCAGCTAGCTTGTGGGTTTTGTTGATTTCAGGGTCGGCAAAAAGAGCCTTAACCATATCTTGACAATCGTCGAAAGATCCTGGAGCCACGTTATTAATTAACAAAAAAAAAAAAAAAAAAAAAAAAAAAAAAAAAAAAAAAAAAAATCATGTTACTAGATTGAATGTAGACATACCTTCAATACTGATGTTATGGACATTTTCATCTAACACAGTTGTCATCTGCGCTTCTTGGATTGGAGATACTTTGCCCTTTGGATGCAGGATGAAGACGGAGGCGTCCTTCTTCCCACGTAGCCCATATATGGCAGCTGAGCCGGTGTCTAAATGCCCATCAGTATCGTTCTATTTCTACGAGGGTTTTAGAAGATTACGTACCTCCACTCGTAGCTCCAATAACCACAAGATGGTGACGGTCCTTGCCGGCCTTGCCCTATATGAAGCATTCGTTGGCTTGCCCGTTCGTCTCTGGAGGCATTTTAGACCAAATTATCGATGAAGATTAGTTACCTCATTCCGTCTCACAAGGAAGTATTCAAATAAGTTTCCCAAGAATTGCAATGCCACATCTTTAAAGGCAAATGTAGGCCCGCAGAACAGCTCCAAAAGATATAACCGCTTCTGCTCGTCCAATGTGACCAGTGGGGTGATATCGGGAGATCTGTTCAACCCATTTGTTCAGCAAGATAGCCATAGAGCAGCAATTTTTTTTTTCCTGTCAAAGCGTACCTAAATGTCCCGTAACTGCGAGATATTATATCCTTCAAGTCATTTGATGGAACCTCTGAAGAGGAGATGTACAATGACAGGATCTCAAAGGCCAGTTCCTGGAAGCTATAGTTGCGCCATTTTGTCTCCCAGTCCGCGGGCAGCGAAGGGATCTGTTCTGGGATAAAGAGGCCTCCGTCTGATGCGAGACCCTTTAGGACAACTTCTTCAAAGGAAAACTGTTCAATTCGTCTGCGTCAGTGCAAAGTTCTCATTAATGCGATAACTAGTAGCTTGCAGCGGCTTAATGCTTGCGGGGGAAGCTCTGCGATATCGGGACATACCCCGTACGAGCCACCCCGAGAGCTCAAGTACTTTTGCGACGCCGTAGCAGCCATCGTGACACCGAAAAAGACAAGAATCTGCCCTCTGTCGGTGTAATTATAGGCGTTTAATGAGCGGTAGAAAAAGATGAAGTTGAAGACGAACTTGAGTCACAAAATCGGCCTTTTACTGCCTTTTCTAGTGGGGCAAAACGCAACCAGATTGCGCGACGAAAAAAGGGATGCTGAAGTTTGCAGCTTTTGCACTTGTGAGATATAAAAGAAAACTCGGAATTTTTCAGGGTTTGACACTGACAAAGAATATTTGACTAGCTGAGGAGGTGATAATATCTACTGAAAATATTACTTTATATACTAGCGAATACAGAATGGCCAAGTTCGAAGCGGCGTTGAGGAAAATTGACGATGTCCACTCGAAAGACCCAAAGCTGGCCAGAGTCAAGACTGACGCCGGAGAAGACGAGGAGATACCAGATGAGCTTCACTATGCCAAAATGATGACGGAATATCTTCTCCAGCATGATCCCAACCCCTCCGAGTTGCTCTACCTGGCCGTACGAGCCCAACATTTGCAGCGCTGGGAGATTCCTCGCACCGACTACCCTATGAACCGGATGGGCTATATCTCCTGGAGAACGGCGCAGAAGAAGCGCCAGGCAGCTCATGCAGAAGAGATCTGTCTGAGCTGTGGGTATTCTACTGAAGAGGCCGCGAGAGTGGCTGCACTTGTGAGAAAGGAGGACATGAAGCGGGATGCCGAGTGCCAGGTTTTGGAAGACGTCGCGTGTCTTGTGTTTCTGGCAGATCAATTCGAGAAGTTTGAGCGAGAACATGGCGAGGATCGGGAGAAGATTGTGAACATCCTGAGAAAGACATGGGCGAAGATGTCGGAAAGGGGTCATGAGCTGGCCCTGCAGATTAAGATGTCTGACCAGGGAAAGGGGCTGGTTGTTGAGGCACTTGAAGCATGAGGTCTGCCCACTAATTGCTTAGGATATCATCAGTCGTTTGAGCTCATGTTCCAAATTTTTCCAACTCGACTTCATATCAAAATAAAGCGCCGCCAGTGGGATTGATAGCTCTAGCCAGAGCTATAGATGCACCGGCAGCCAAACCCCCAACAACAACCATCTGTAACCCTCCTTTGATACCAGCAACTATATTTTCCTTGCCTGTCCAACCCCGAACGACGCACGTCTTGACGTAGCCAAACACCAACAATGTGAAAATCATGATACCAATGCTATAGTACAGAGCCACCAAAACTTGATCCACAAGGAAATAAGGAATAAGGGGAATGAAGCCGCCAATAAAGTATCCCAGTGCAAGGGTGATGGCAGATATCCATGCCTGATTGCATCCTGGCTTGGATTCCTTATGATAGAAAGTGAGAAGGAAGTCGAGTAGTTTCTCAGGGGAGTTATATAAGATATGACTCATTCGAGCCACAGGCTCGTCTGGGAGGTTGTATGGAGCAAAAACCTGGCGGATGATATTCATTGTTTCCATGGGGGATACTTTGACTAGGTGTTTTGTCTCTCGAACCGTGGCTTCGTATGATTCCCTAGGCGCAGTTAGATACCTTATCAATATATATATGGTAGGTGTATGCGTGAATCTGACTTACACTTCACTACGAGAGCCAACGTATCCGCCCAGGCCCATGGATATAGCACCGGCAACAAGTTCTGCCAACCCACCAACAACAACCACTCTCGAGTTCCCTAGAGCAGAGAGGCCGGCACTGAGAGCAAATGGAACGGTCAACCCGTCCGAGAGGCCCAGGATAGCATCAGAGACTATTCGGGGGTTCACTCTAGGCCGAGTAGAGGCAATACTGCTAGAAGTTTCTGTACTCTCTGTTGGCGAAGGGGGGAATGTCCCATACGGCGAAAAGTCCTGTTCCTCGAGGTCCTGCGGGCTCCAGTGGCTGTGTCTGCCGCCGAGCATAGGCTGGTCTGCTTGTTGCTCTTTGATTAGTATTCCTGCTCATACCATAAAATTCGAGTATGAAGAAGGATTAGGGGGCTCACCACTCATGCTGGTATCTTCTGCTGCCGCTCTGGCTCTTCAGAAGCAAAGCACCTAGGGGCTATACTTATGGAGTTGCTCAAGGGGAATGTGTCCTCCACAACTAGTCAGCTCCTCAGGTACGAACCTCTTCGGTCCTTTTATCCTTTTGAAACGGCCTTGGAATATAGGTAGAACAAAATGAAAAAAAGGACAGTAAGAGTTCTAGGCGTTGGTATCAGGTCGGAGATACGGAGTATAGATGCCCAGGACTGGATGTAGTACTTCGCAGGCGCTCAAATCATCCCTTTACACTGGCAATATATGGTTGGCCAGGCGGTTGGTTGTCCAGCTGCAGCCATAAGGGACACCCTCATCGTCTTCCATGGACGGGACAGAATCTCTTTTATACCCTCCTTTACTCATGCTGGTCTGCCGTCTATCGTTAACACAGCTCTCCATCGATCCCGCGCTGCACTAGATGACGAGATATGGGAATGTACACTGAGCGCAGCCAATAGGGGGCCCGCTTATTGTAAGCAGCAGGCTTTCTCCTTGCAAGCCCGTCTTTGCCATCGCCCGCTGGGCCACTCAGCGTGAAGGTGATTACTTTCCCGCCTCGCCGACTCGATGTTTGCGAAGGTGAGACAAAGCCGCAAGGTTTGGCCAACTTATCAGTTTAACTAACTACTCCCAAGGTTGTGGTTCTGGCCGTGGCAGTTGGTGATGGTTGATATCAGACATAACTATTATTATTATATAACTACAGAGAGGCAGCTTCATTCTTCATAGACGGGAGGTACAGAGAGAAAACGGGAACATTCCAGCCTGCCATGGAAGAGACAACGATCCTCAGCGAGTGGTTAAACCAGATAACAGGGGGTTTAACTAGGCAGATCATGCGCCCCCCTCGCGCTTCGCGTACTCCTCTTCCATGCGCTCCTCGTACAGTCGATCAACCTCCTCCTGCGTCATCACTCCGGGCCCTCTACCCGACGCTGTGGGCTGGACATTCGTGGTCGTTTCAGCAGTGGTGGTCATCGTGATAGTGGTATTCGGCGTTGATAAGGGGTCATTCATGTTGCTTTTGCCGTTGGGGCCCACGGTGGATTTGTCTTTTTTCTTGGATTCTGGACCCAGCGGCACAGGCATCTTTGCTGATGGTGTCTGTCTGTTTTGTACGCTTTGTGTCTTTTGTAGTTTTGGAGGTAGCTTTTTTTTTTTTCTTGTTCTCGTTCCTGGCTGTGTCTTGTTTATGGTTCCGGCGGGGTTATTATATAGGATGAGTCGTGTCGGTGGCGATTTAGGCAAACACGTCGCCACTTGGTCGATGTTCGTTCCTGGCCTGGCTACTCCGTATGATGTAATAGTTATCCAGGAGTGAGTTTCGTGTGAGATCCTGTCGATTTACTTGGTGATATAGACAGGGGGGAAAGCTTAAGGGGGAAAGTAGCAAGATTACTCTGTATGGAGTACAAGTATATATATATGCTGAATACATTGGACGTCTTCCTCAACCTCTTGCATAGAGCAAGATGCGGCCGGAGCCAGATCGATGAAAACAGCAGTATTCGCGTAGAGTGACAGAGCCAAAGAATGTGCCTCTCGATGACCCGAAGGCCATTGAACAAGACGAGTCCACCGCGACGTGCAATGCAGGGCCTCTTCTGTGGGGAGTCGCCTTTGTGAGCGCGATCCCCGAAACAAGGTAAGTATGAAGAAGAGAAGAAGAGAAAGAAAAAGTCGAAAAAGGCGAGCGAGGCTGGCGACTTTTTTATAGTCGCGGCGGCCGGCGCTAAAGCTAAGCGAGAAACGGAAAAGAAGACCTGATTGGACGGTCAGGTTTGCTTAGTCAGCTGTGATATCAAGCAACCCCCTGAGCCGCTGCAAAGATGGAGAAAGACTTGGGAAGGTGGACGTAGAATTCGTTGGTATCATTGTCATTCTTTACGTGCTAGCTTTTGGGAGATAAGCTCCCTGATAACGCAGATAAAAGACAAGAAGTTAGCGTGGCAAAGTTAAGAGTAGATAGCGGTGGCTATTTGGCTACCAAAAATCCTTCAGCCATGGGCTCTATCCTGAACTGAGATATTGATTGGTTTCTCGTCGGTGAGTCGCTTCTCCTGTTCACTCTTATGACCTTCATTTTCCACTGGCTCACCCTTGCTGCTTCCAGCACTCTTCTTCCCTTTGCTACGCGCCGTGCCTGCAGAGACCGGCGCCATTTGAACCCACCAGGAGACAGCCGCTGCGCGTTCGTTGCAGAACGGGAAGTCCTTGGAGTCATCCTGAGCCCACCTTTTAAACACGGCATTGTTCATCTGGGAGGTGTGTGCCATTACTTCTTGGGTTGGGGCTGGTGGTGTTTTCTGCGCAGGCTCAGGCGGGATCTCTGGCTGCGTAGCCGCGGGTATTGCTGGATCTGCCGTTGCTTTCTTGTATATGTTGTGGCCTGGGAGAGGGGCAGGTGCACAGAGGGTTTCCCATGGTCTTATCTTCAGCCAGTTATCAGTGCGGTGGAGGATTTCCATCCAGTCGGAGCGGGAGGGAGATCGGGGAGCCAGGAAGATGGGATACCCGTCACAGATGCGTGCGACTCGGGCTACCATGTGAGCGTGGCGGACGAACTCCTTTTCAGGTGTCTGAAGGATGGAATGACATATCAAGATGGAGTGAAGGGCGTCCGTAAGCAGCGGGTGGTAAGTCACGGCTTCATGACAGACGTCCGAGCTTCGGGCTTGCTGGCCAGCATTACCTTGGTTGGGCACGATTAATGCATCTGATTCTTCGGGATAAGGCGGGAGGTCTGCAGGAGGCGTGGATGAGAAGAGGTCTGACACAGGATAAATCTTGTAAAGAGTAGCAAAAGTGCCGTCTTGTAATTTAGACGGGGTAGGTCCTGGGGTATATTTGATCAGAGAAAGGAAAGCAAGATAGTCGCGAAGAGCCCGTCGCGCATTTGACTTGACAATCTTCCGTTCCTCCAGCCAGTGTCTATGTGCCTGTCTGTCTTTCGGGTCACCACCGTTCTCTTTCACGTCCTGAGTGTCATCATCGCCATTTGTCGGTCCATGAGACTCCTTGGTCTTTTCATAAGCAGTCAACGCCTCGTGAATATGTTGACACGAGATACTCAAGTAACTCCAGCCCTATGGAAGAGCAGTTGGGCCTCCAATCCACGTGGCTGGTCGTTTTCATCTATCTTCTGGCTGAATCGTGAAGGCATCATTTTTCGTCGACTACTTTCAGTCACCACTTCAATGTCCTTTCTGATGTCTTCATGTTGTCTGCCACAGGCACGACAAGCAGCAAGTCCCTCTGTGAGGTCTCTCGCTGCGCCTAGGAGGTCGTCCTTCAGCATCTTTGCCACAGCTCTAGTCCTGTAGGTAGCCCCGTCCAACTGCCGCATAGCAATGATATCATCCAGCGGCCGAAGACTTGTGCATTGCACCAGAGAGCGAGACGGGATCTTTTCATGGAAAAAATGGACGTATTTCGCGTCACAGTCATTCTCGTTCCGTTGTAGAACCAGCTTTGCAACTTCTTCAAGTGCGGATGCAGACTGCATCGTGGCAACACTGGCTGCAATCTCATCAAGCGCATACGCCTTGGATAGCTTCTGGGTGGCATGTTCCCGCATACGGTGCCGTCGTTCCCGACTCAATTTCGTTGTACCGTCTCCTCGACTCCCTCGCACACCCGAACCCCCCATGGGTCCCCCTCCATTGCCACCCAGAAGACCATATCCCGAGTTGTATGATGAGTTCCCCGGCGAAGATATTGTCCCATTCGCTGCACGTACAGCGAGGTCTGTGGCCTCTTCGATCAGCTGACGGATCTTGATGAGGTCGAAGAAGACCGCCGGGTCGATGGGCTGTGGCTGCGGAGAGGCATAGTTGCTGTATGCCAGGCTTTCAAGTATCTCGGGAGGCAACTGGAGCCATGGGCCGTGGAAGGACGATATATACCGCCAGTGTCTGCTCAGTCAACCAAGACAGACGGTTAGCATCAGTATCGAATATGTTCGACAAGAGGAATTGACAGGGATCGTTTCAGGTACAAGAACTAGCCAGTTAACTAGTTGTCTTGCGAAAATAAATTCTTCTCATAGCTTCTAGTTACCCCAAGCTATATCTAGCTATCGAGCTTCTCCACAGTCATCGGAAAAGTAGAGTAAAGATGAAATAGTTATAAAAAAGGCAAATACGAAATGATTCCTTACTTGTTTCGACAGATAATGAGAGCAGAAGTCGACGGCTCTGCGGGTGGTGGTTTGATAGCTTTAGGCACAGACGAAGATCCTTGTGGCTTTTGCTCCTGGTGGCTCGGAGAAGCAGAAACGCTGACAGTGGATGAAGCAAGAGAATCGCCGCCTGGAGGACTGTCTTTCTTTCTCTCGCCGGCTTTCTTCTTCCTAGTCATCGCGGCGGTTCATGGGAGCTTTGATCCTATCCTCTTGCCTTTGGGAGCGCTTTGTATCCTGGATAATTTTGATACTTCCAGAATGTTTAATGATGGAGGGAAAAAAAATAGCGTCGAGGGAAGTTAACTAAGTTAACTAGTTAAATTGTTTAAAAAAAAAAAAAAGGGCACTGGTTCAGCTGAATATTAATAAAGCCTTGTAATAGGCCGAGAAGACAGGGCTTTGCAGTTTGCCATTTATCTTAAATAAATCTCAAGAGACGCTGTGCCTGAGTATTATTGATGCAACCTGCCGGCATTTTTCTTTCATGCTCGTGGGCCGATATCTACTTTGACGAGGTGAAAGGGGAGAAAAGGTACACGAAATGATGCCGAAGTCAATTTAAATTTAAGCTTAAATGGTCACGGTACTTAAAATCAACTTCTTCACACGGATCTGGTGATATATTTTGTTCTACCTTACTCAGTGCTGATGGTGAGGCCTCCAGCAGCCTTTTCGAAGGACTAACGACAAGGGAAACACAGGGCCAGGTCTATGAAAGCTTGTACGAGGAAGTAAACCAATTTATAACTGCGTATTCAATGGGTATCCATGATATTTATTATCCGACCATAACTCCCCGGTTATGCTCGTAGCATTTTGCACATATCAAGAAAACAACCGCTCCAATATGCCATCAATGTTTCAAGAGTCGGCGCTAAGTGCAAGACAGGCATCAACTGCAAGACCAACCCTTTACCAGGAAGAATGGTTAGTTTGGTGGGCTAAACAAAGCGTTGTAGAGAAAGGTGACACTTACCGTCCTTCTTTCATGGTGACGACATCGTCGATCAAATCTCGATCCAAATTCGGGAACATACCAGCGAGTGTCCTGTAATGTATGAAATCAGTATTTATCCTCAATTTATTTTCGTTTACATTGTGCTTCGAAAACACACGTACTCGACAACATCGTTGTGCTCCGCTTGTTGGATACGACGAGCCTCCGCGGACTCGGCGCTTGCTTGACGGGCCGCAGCCTCCTGGGCTTCAAAGCGGGTAGCTAGAGATGGTGACTTTCCATCACGACCCCTGGATCCCTCCTGGTTTCTCCACGAATCACTGTCTGGGCGCTGCCCATTGTATGGCACATTCTCAGAAGTCGCTGAACTTTGTTGATTGAAAGGTGATCGTTCTCTAGAATGATCTGTATCATCAGAGAATATACGACCAATTGTTGTCAGTGGCTTCTGGATGGTTCGTAGCAATCCGGCAACTGGGGTATTATCGTCGGAAACAGGAGAGTAGGGGGGCGAATGCTCATTCTGGCGCGAGTTCGAGTGTCCTTCAAAAGAGGGCCGTGATGCTGTTTCCCGTGCCCTGCTAGCAGGCGGCTTTTCGGGTACGGATGGTGGTTCCTCGGGGTCTGGATTACGCTCTGCTATGGCAGAAACGGCTGCTTCTACATTTCGCTCGAATTCCTCATCGCTGACAGTTAAGGATGTCCTATCCAAGGTTTCTATAAACTGGATGGCTCCAGACTATCCTCCAATCAGTAAACTAAGTAGTTTTGGGGACAGCGGTAAATGAAGCATACAAGAGAAGACAAATAATATCCCGCCTCGCCGCTCAGCTTTTCTTGGTTGCGAAATCGGAGAATATATTGTACGTTGGACACTAGATGTTCAGGATTCGCCTTGAGAACCACATATATCAATAGAGGTATGAATGAGTCGGCCGAGGTATCGCTGTTCTTTGCATGGCGTAACAGTCCTGTTTATGTTTTGATTAGGCTATGGTCTCATCTTCAAGGAGGTGGGGGGATATATGGATACCGAAGATAACTTTGCAGCAATTCAAAATGCATATTACTTTATCACGCGGCGCTCGGTAGCCCTTTATCTTCAATAGCTCTAAGCTAGGTTAGAATGAGGGATCTATCAATTGGTCAAGTGTAAATACCTTGTTGAGCCAAAAGCAGAAAACGGCGGCCGTTTGGGCCAACCGGCGGGATATCAAGATGTTCTTCGCGAACCCAACTATATATCCGAACTTTTTGGGCCAGAATCTCATCACGCTCAACGTCTTCCTGGTGCTGGCCACGTCTACCGGGATGATGCATCCTCTCTAATTCCTTTCTCCTCCCTCGGCTTCTACTTCGCGAGGGGGCTGCTGGCGGTGGAATGGTTGGGGAAAACGTTTGGGTATAAAGTCTGTTCATAACAAGCTTCTCCATTCCCTCTTTGGCGTTATCAAACTCAACGTCAGATACACCCTTCCATACCTCACATTGGGCCATTTTGTTAGTGATGAATGCTAAGAAATCGCTTATTATCTTCACTTGTTCGTGAACCATCCACTGACGCTTTCCAAATTCATTCAGGAATGAGCGGAGAAATTTTGCTACTGGGTCAGCAGTCCTATGTCGCAGTTGTTCCAGGAAGCGATGGAAGTCAAATGGCTGTTCTGCTTCTGGTTCTGGTGGTGGTGGAACCGTTGACGTCGGCGTTGATGGGTTGTGGTGAGTATCAGACTTTTCCACGGCTACCAGTTTCCCTGCGCTGGTCAGGGACGGGGACTTAGGTGGTACAGCGGGAGGAGACATTGCTTGACAACTGCTGCCGGTGCTTGTTAAACTTAACGCGGCTTGGGTATCTGCTGATTCATCGATTTGCTTTCCAGGCTGCTGTTCTAAACTTGAATTCCGAGGAGGGAAATGTCCCTGGCTGGTCCGAAACTGATCAGCTAACTCTAGTCTTGGAGACATGATCTCTTCCTGACGGAGGCTGCTGGTCTCATCCGAAAATTGATCTATGATTGTCTGTATCTCCGACTGAGAATCTTCACTCTTCCTCCCCTCACTTTCGGCCTTGGGTTGACAACTGTCGTCGAGTAAGTCATCCTGAGGAACTTCAGGTAGGTCCTTATCCGCCGGTGGTCGTGGAACCTGCGGAGTTTTAGGGGTGGGATCGATGTATGGCTCGTCTTTCTTAGGGGGGAGAGGCGGCTGGCCACCTGCTACGTCAACATGGAGCAGTTGGCCAGGATTCCCGCGCTTAGACTGAATAGACTGCTGCTGCTGCTGTGGCTGTGAGGAGGATTGTCTGTCAATTTCAACGGGTGAAGAAGGTTCTTCATCTCTATTTGAAGCTTCTACCGTGTCCTCCTTCTGCTGAGGGGAATCAGCCACACCTGCACAGTCTCGTCAACCTTCATTCAGCATCGCTGCTCACTTTCTTTGGAGTTGTATCATTTCGAGATTCCTCGCTTTCTCCTACTTGCACAGACGTCTCCCCAGCGACGTCTGAACGGGGGGCCTGGATTTCTGGAGGAGACATAAGCTCGACATGAGCTGTGCGAAGTAGTGTATATACGGCTGTCGAAACGTTGCTGGGGGCTGTTGAATCAGCCTACCGTGATCATCGTGGGGGAACTCGTATCGTATAATGTTTTCTGGTTGAAATGACGCCTCGCGCACAAACACTGCCTCTCAAACACACAGAAAACACTTGCTTCTTTATATATAGGTTGTCAAATCTCCGTAAAATTAAACAAGAACAAGCTAGGTGGTCGGGATGTCGATTGGAAGGCCATGGCCCGATCCATCCATCCAGAAAAAGCGGCGGATCATTGTTTTGCCGAGGCTCCCGCGCCCGCCCGCCCGACGGGACGACCTCATCTCCCGACCTCTGGACGCCCGGGGGTATTTAGCCACAGCTGAAGGCCATTTCACTTCAACAACTTCAAACAACACTCAACCTTACCTTCGACATGACGTGAGAAGAGGATATTTCACGATGTGTGGTATTTTCTTCTCGCTGAGCAATGAGAAGTACTGCTATCCGAGTCAATTGACGGAGAAGCTTATCCAGCACAGGGGTCCAGACAGCTACCAGACAGAATGTGTTCGTGTTAACCAGACGGCAGCGTACCTAACTTTCGCGTCCTCTGTACTTGGACTTCGAGGAGACTCTATTCAGAAGCAGCCGCTGGTAGATGATAGCCAATCGGTCCTCTGCTGGAATGGCGAGGTATGGAAGTTTGCGGACCGCGCGCTAGATGGAAATGACACCTACGCTATTTTTCAGTATTTTATGGATGCGGTGAAGCCTTGCAACGGTGAACAAGCTGAGGATACATTAGAGAAACTCTGTACTGCGGTTAACAACATCTCAGGCCCCTTTTCGTTTGTCTTTTATGACAGTTGCTCGTGCCGGATATTCTATGGGAGAGATTACCTTGGTCGACGGTCCTTGCTCCATGGGTGGAGTAGTGATGGGAATTTTCGAATATCCAGTATTCGGGATGGAGACATATCGGACTACTTTGAAGAAGTAGATACTGCTGGAATTCATGTCATTGATCTTACTAGCCTGACCGAACAGGAGAACATGGAAGCCAATGCTGGAACACCCACATGCCCGGTCAAGACTTCTGTTATCCCATGGTCCCCTGACCCGACATCGAGTCTTGTGAGAATACTAATAACCAGCCCTTGTTTTTAAACTAGATGCCATGTACGATTCACAGCTAACACGTTTAGAAACGGCCTATCCCTGCTATGGATACTTCTCTTCCGGAGAGGGGATTCGTGTCTCCCCTAGCCATTGATTCCTCATGTATAGAAACACTACAAGAAAAACTACTGGAGTCGCTTAGACTACGATTATTGACGATACCGGGCGCTTTAACCTCAACGGAAACTAAAGTTGCCATCCTTTTCTCTGGTGGTCTCGATTGCACCTTGGTTGCGAGACTAGCACATGATGTATTGCCTATGGGAGCGCCAATCGACCTTCTTAATGTGGCGTTTGAGAATCCACGGGTAGTGGCTGCAGCTACTAAAGGCTCGATATCCGGAACTTCATCAACTTCTGTATATGATGATTGCCCCGATCGCAGGACTGGCATATCATCATTTCAGGAATTAAAAAGGGTCTGTCCTGGCCGGGAATGGCGGTTCGTCCGCATTGATGTTCCATATACTGAAACTATGGAACATCGACCACGGGTCAAACACCTGATGGCACCGCACAATACAGAGATGGACCTCTCCATTGCCTGTGCTCTTTACTTTGCTTCAAGAGGCGAAGGCATGCACCACTCAGAGTATAGCGACAGGGAAGCAGGAGTCAATTATACCACACCTGCTCGTGTCCTTTTATCGGGTTTAGGCGCAGACGAAGTGTTTGCTGGGTACAGTCGCCATGCCATCGCTTTCTCACGACATGGGTTCCGTGGCCTAGTAGACGAAGTCCAGCTTGACGTTGGCAGGCTAGGCAAGCGGAACCTAGGCCGTGATGATCGCGTGATATCTCATTGGGGCAAAGAAGCACGATATCCATATTTAGATGAAGACTTTTTGACATGGGCACTTTCTCGGCCTATATGGGAGAAATGTGGATTTGGGTGCAAGCAAGCTAAGACAGAGCTAGAGCCAAATGTGGAAGATGGCAAAAAGGCCCTGCGTCTAGTTGCGTGGAAACTAGGCATGAAGAATGTAGCCATGGAGAAGAAGAGAGCAATACAGTTTGGATCTCGGACAGCAAAAATGGAGAGTGGAAGAAGCAGAGGTACACAAGTCCTTGAGTGATCAGCACATCTCCCCCTCCATTCCCGTCAATCCCGTGGCAGCCATGATGACACGACAGATACTTCTGAATTCTTCTCCATCTAATCATGCCTGGACTCAACATCATGCTCTTTCCTCTCGTTTTACCGTTTGGCCTTCTTTAAAAACGCTCCTTTCATTCTTACTGCCAAACAACAAATCTTCTTATTCAAACTCATCATGGTGCTCATGACACTCCCTATTCCGGTAGAGTGAGGGCGTGGGCACCTTGTAGGTTGGGATAGGGGTTGTGCAGCGATTTTTCTGATCGGATGCGCTCGAAGACTACATGGTGCGAACGGAGAAAGGATGTGCTGTGCTGAGTTGGACAGAAGACGGAGTGAGAGCTGAAGAAATTAAGGCAAGTCTGAGCTGCATGCATAAACACCCTGTTTTAACTAGTACTCTTCTGTTGGTGTGTCCTACATATCCTTGGCCAGTGTTCTCTTGCTAGTTACTTGCCGAAATACGCTTATGAACCTGCACCATAGTAGTAGGCATAACCTAGGTCTGCACACCAAAAATATTTATATCAAGGAACATGTTCTAGTTCAGCCACATTCATGCTCCTAAGATCGCACCCTTATCCTTAGTTAATAGCGTAGATTGTCTAACTAATTTAAAAGATACTTAAGAGTACCCCTACAATTTGAACTTCCCCGCTTGCTACAGGGACGTACGGAGTAGTCTATTATTGTGCGGAACGTAGTAAGAGGAGAAGTACACCAACGAAACGCATATTTGAAGACGTGTGTGCGACTTCACTGTGGATGAACGTTCACCGAGCAAGGGCTGAGGATGACAGGATCATCTCCGGAGGATCGGGTCAACTGCAATATTTCAGACAGGGCGCAGGAGAACTATTGACGGATATAGCCTTACACATATAGAGTGCATCATTTGAAGGTATCAAGGATGAATGACAAACTGAATTTGATTTTTTTTGTTAAGGATGATATCCTATTCAGAAAAAGCACATAGTTTAAGGATAAATCTAGACCACTACCAGCCCTGAAGGCGAGGGTCGATAAACGCATTAACTGAACAACACGTGTGAAGGGCAAATAGACTTCAGCGTAGGGATGGAAAAGAACCATGGATTAGAGACTGGTGTCCATCGCAAGAGAAAGAGAAATAGAAAAGCCACGAGTCAATCCTAGCGCAAAACATACCAACACGGGCTGGGCTGAGAAGCAAAAGAGGAGACATCAGACGGCAGAGAAAGAGTAAGCTGAGAGCAGAACCGAGTACATCAGTGACAGTGAGCAGTGAGGGGGATATAAAAAAGGCTGAACGTAGAACAAGAGGAACAGATAAAGATGAAACTGAAACTTTTCTCCAACGCCGTCTGGGCGGAGGTGGTTACCCGACGAGTCTCTGATAATGAATGCTGCTATTTTTTTTTCCTTTTTTTTTTTTCAGAATGTGGTAGGGTTCGGAGACTCGCCGGGTAACCAATCATAAGCAGGTTAAGAATAGACAAACACTACACAACGTGTGTAATTGTTGGGTCACCCCGTAGGCCTCCGCACACGAAGTTTTGTTTTAGAAGAGACTTTGATGCGGAGGCCCATCGGGTAACAGAGTGATGACGATAGAATCATTGACTTGAATGAGAACATGTCACATCCTCGGATCAGTTTCCGGTGTGCCCAGCAACACCCTTCCAGTGCTCGGCCTCTTGTTTGGCGTGCTCCAGTTCGGCTTCAAGCTCTTCAATACGGCGCTCAAGTGACTCCTGGAGTTCCACTTTCCGCTGGCGAGATTTTCTGGCTGCTTCGGTGTTCTTAGCTCGCTTGACCGCGACAGGATCGGAAGGATCAACCTCAATTGGTGGCAAAGGATGCTTTTCACGGGTTCGCTTAGTCACCCCAGACACCGATGAAGGACGGGTGGATGTCGAGCGAGAACTCGTGCGAGGTGATGATATTGGAAAAGAACGAGATTTAGCAGCAGGCGAAGATGAAGCAGTGGTAAAAATCGTTTCTTGCTGGACAGTTCGTCGAGCTGGTGGCTGAGCCAGAATAGGCGCCGAAAGCTTTGGGGTTTCGTCGAGAGTGGTCAGCGGGTCTCCAGGAAAGAGCGACTCCCAGCCATCATGGTCAGCGGAGAGATCGTCCGCAGTACTGAAGAGTGGCGATGTGTCGTGGCTGAAGGTGCCAGGGGATTCGAAGGATGGAGTGCTGAGATCGGTCATGCAGGTGGAAGGTGGGCACGAGGAGTCCAAGAGAAGTTCTTGGGGGGAAACAGTCAGGGGAGGGGCGTCTGCAAGGGCAAGTGGCTGGCTGCCGTTCAAGGCCAACGAGTCGCTGCCCTGCATTTCGAAGGTTTCGGACAAGTCAAAGTAGTCTATAGTAGTAGCGGGAGAGAGATTAGTGTTGGCCAAAATCGAAAAAGTAGCGACCGACGTACCCTCCATTGCGGCGTTCTTGGTCTGATCTTGCAAATGGACTGGAGTTTTCTTTCCCATATCCGCGAACAAGGGTACAGGAGGACGCAAGCTTTGGCTGGCTAGGCGAGATAAAGAAGTGTTTACACTAGGCGAGTAGAAGACCGGTTGCGGGGCTGAGATATAGGTACGGCTGCTGCTGGCAGGCAAAGCAGAGGCTGCAGAACCAGATCTAGGGGTATTCTGGATACTCTGGCGCGAAACCAGACGAGAGCTCTTGGAAGCTGACCAGCTGCTGGGTTGTGCTGCAAGCGGCTGAGGAGTCGGGAAGAGCTGAAAGTCTTGCTGCAGAGAGGCAGGGAGACTGTTGTAACTGTATTGCGGTTGCTGTGGACGATTGTTTGTAGCCAAAGGCTGTCTGGACTGGGGTTGGGAAAGCCATGATGGGCGTTGGTTATCCGTGGTGAACGACGTAAAGTCGAACTGGGGAATGGTGATGGAGGAAGAGAACGCGGGGTTTGCACGAGACAAATCAGAAGATGCGTTCAGAGGTCCGGAAGGAGGCTCTGAAGGGGGTGAAGAAGTTGATGGTGAAGTGGTATAATCGTGGGAATCCAACGTGGTTGTAGTCTCTTGGTGGGAGAGACCGAGCGAGCCGGAGCCTGCGTCTAGAAGGCCATCTTGCAGCCTTGTGAAGAGAAAGTCGAAGTCTAGAAATGCTTGTATGGTTACGTCGGGCGTTTGTCTGGGGGCTCGATGCTGGGTATCTCGCCGTCTATCTTCTTTTTTCTGTATGTCTTTTTTGTTTTGTTTCTTTGTGTGCGTGAAAAGAATGAGGATTGAGAGAAAAAGACGAAGCAAAAGACGACGACGAAGCGAGTTTTAAAATAAAAAAAAAAAAAGGGCGCGCGAGTGCAGTAAAATCCCACCGCCTTCCCGATCGAGCGACCCGACTCTGCGCTAAACCGAGAGCGGC